TGTCTGTTAGATGTTAGATGTGGTTGATTTTTTTGATTTTTTTTTTTATAGATTTGAATTTTCATTGATTTTAGGTTATAGTATGAAAATGTACTTGGAACTGGGTCGTTACCTAGGCGTTTTATAATCATTATGCCAAGATTTTCGCTATGAAGATAATGGAATTAAAGAAATCTGTTTTTGCCATAGAATAAACTTGCATATAATTACCATAGGTATGAACTAGCTGAGTAGATAACTGTGTAAATTCAGTCTATTCTTGACGGGTAGCAATACTTGGCAGGGCGTGAGTAGACAATGAGATATTTGAGATACAGTTTATGGATATAAAGTTTAAGCAAATATAAATCATCACAGAGACGTTACGTAATAAACCACACAGGTATTCAACAATAAAGAGTTTGATACAAAAAAAATCAAAGTTTACTTAATATGGAGCCAGTATATGAGCCCTGCACATTTGAATGTAGCAACGGACAACATTGTCGAAATTGCCTTTCCTAACAACACACAAAATGAATTAACTGCAATAATGTATAATAGAAAATGTTTTTTAATTATGATATAATGTTATTTTATTCTTTAAACACAAACTCGGGGAACATTTATATACATGTATGTGTATCATTTGAAATACAAGTCTGAAACAACACACAATAGGCCATCTATTATCGGTTCACCTTCGTTCACAGTAATAGTGTACGGACTGACGAATTGGATTTTTGGAAATAAAGGAGTAGAGAAGAACTATATGTGAGAAAATTATACTAAGCTTGAATATTGGCAAGGGCCGATATCAGGGTCACGTCCCGGTGACATTCCTTTGATATGATACGAGCCTTTAGGCGAATATCATATCAAATTAATTTAACTAGTTTAATAAATTCAATATGACATGGACGCTCATGTAAGATTCTATTTATCTCATAACATTCATGATTTGAAAAAAAAGGACAATTGTGTGTTATCAGCTTACTCTTTACATTAAAGGAGTAGAGAAGAACTATATGTGAGAAAATTATACTAAGCTTGAATATTGGAAAGGGCCGATATCAGGGTCACGTCCCGGTGACATTCCTTTGATATGATACGAGCCTTTAGGCGAATATCATATCAAATTAATTTAACTAGTTTAATAAATTCAATATGACATGGACGCTCATGTAAGATTCTATTTATCTCATAACATTCATGATTTGAAAAAAAGGACAATTGTGTGTTATCAGCTTACTCTTTACATAAATCCAAAGTAGCGCAGTGCAAAGTAGTTCTAGATAATTTTCTTCTCTTTTTGAAATAAAAAACAGTTTTAAATCAATGAAAATAAATAATAACAAAATAAATATTTCATTTAAAAATATCAGTAAATGTTTTATTTGGTACTGAAACTAAAAGTAGTACCTGTAGTGGCGTAGGAATATGTTCCCACGGTTTTGACCAATCGCATCCCCTTTATTTTGTATTTCACGTGCGTTAGACCATATTCATGACATGGCCGTACGGCATAGTAAAATTGGTCAGTCATGTGATAAATATTGATATCATATTGTCTTAGAATGCATGGTCACCAATCAACATATATTTTATGGCTTCCCAACCAATAGACTAAACAAGCTCAAACTTATGCATAACAGTACAACTGCTCGTATTTGAAACAACCCTCCAATACTTTTCATCCCTGATGTAAATTTAATCAAGACAAATTTGAATGTATCACATGGTATATAAGTAACGTTTAACGTTAGAAAATATATCACGACGACAATACTGTTAGTGTCATATTTGATTTCATCGATTGCATGGTATTTAGACTAATACATTGCCGTAAGTCAACTGACTTTTAAAATATTTATCAATATCAATAAAAACATTGTCCATTAAATGGCTGCATTTTACTGTATTCGTTATTTCCAACAAACATTCTATTTAGCATGAACCACATTTTAGTTAATATGACAGTTTATCCTTGACGTGGACTTTGAAGGGTAACTTTTCCCCCGACACAAAACCACGTTGGTTTGTGTATCTAGGAGATACCCTACAGATAGGTTATACAATGAGGTAAGCAATTACAGTCTGATGAATTACAAGGCAAAACAAAATATTTATGAGTTATACAAACCAATGTTAGATCAAATATTTGAAGGTAAACTATGACACAACCAAGTTTGTTTACACACTATGTCTGTATATCTGAGTGATTTTTAAGTAATTGTGTAAGTTTTTTAGTTTTCGAATCGTATATATTATCAAGACCCTTTAGTTTGCCTATATTGTTTGCCTTGTCAGCGTACATTAAAGTGATATATGATCACTTAGTGGTCGTTTCATTGTCACCCAATAATTTCTAAAGACATGTATTGAAAAAATATGAGTTGATTTTATTAATGAAATGAATTTCTAGCTTTCATCTGTAAAATCCAGAAAAAACGCTTCAACAAAACGATAGGCCAACTGACCTGTAGTCGTGAATATTCTCCGAGTTATTTTTTTCTCAAATGGATATTTTGTAAGGTATAACTTTAAATTGTTGTTAGACATCGTAAACCTGACAGTCCTAGTTTTATGATACCACACAACGATTGCACGTGTTTTCTCACGACTGTATGGAAGATATCAAGATAAAAGTGTGACTAAGAGCAGCAGATGGTAAAGATAATAGATACATGACGTATATTCAAATTTCGCTAATTAAGGTATCAGAAAATCCAGGATATACCATCCTTTCATCTTCATTGGGCATCGGCTATTTTCGAAGACTCAATTATCTTCCTTTTAGCAATAGCAATTCCTATTTTTCTATACACGTATCGAGTTTCGAGTATTAAGTAGTATTGCCATTTATCTGAATTGTTATTCAGATAATCTGCTGTAACAGACATTTGAGAAAAATTTAAACAGGTTTACACTTTTAAAATCCATTTTAATTACAAGAATGAACATATGTTGACATAAGCTTCTATTGCTTTGATATAGATAAATCGTAGTATCTGACTTATTTTTCAAAAGTAGCTTACATTGCGCCTGAAACTCGACATGAAGTCATGACCTTCAAGAATGCAGGTTGTTTCCTAACAATCTGAAGCAAGGTAATATGTCTTTATTCATGAACAAGATGAAATTTCGTAGTTGAGGATTTATGACGCTAATATTTCTAACAATAAATCGTGTAAACACGCTGTTGATGAACGTAAAACACATGTGATTGTTACTTTTACATTTAGTAATAGATACATCACGATAAAATGAAGTTTCAATGCATCATACAGTTGAACCTTCCTTGTAGAACTCATCGGTGATGCTAGGGCAAAACAGATGCACACATCCAAATTCGTCTTAACAACTGCTGAAACAACAGGGGAGGCGCGTAAACTTAGACTTAGATTTTTTGTGGACTTGACATTACTTTAATTCACCCTAGATTTATATGAAATGGTCGTAGATGAACCAGAACTCCTTACCTTTTACCTTTATAGAACACAAAGTAGTTTTTCCCTTTGTTTGTGTGTGTTATTCTTTTCATATTCAAACTCAGTTTATTGTAATTAATTTCGTGTTGCTTGTTGGGCACTAAATCTCTCACTTTTCACAAGAAATACTTGTTTTCCACCATGTGCCAGTCATAAAAATACACTATACGCTATATACTCAGTTTTCAAACATAATTTTTTTTTATTAGGTATAGCATTTAAAAAAATCACAAAAATATCAGCCTGAATGTGGAAGGAAAACGTTTTTGTGAGATAAACAATATGCACACATAAGAGTCATTAATAGATGTATAGCAACCATGTTTGCACGTTTGAAAGGGGTATCTTAAAAGAAACATTTGTTAACGATTTTTACCCCGAGGAGAATAGAAATCCCTTACAGCTAAAAGTCTATAAATATGTCAAATACCCTCTTAAAAGCAGTAGTGATTCAAAGATTATCATTCTCTGTTTTCACGGTTTGTCGTGAGACCATTTACACATCGCAAGCACTTGTATAAAATCGAGAGGCCACAGAGGATGTATTCGACATTGTATTCACGTGCGAGCGATGAGCAAAATTCTTCGACTTACCTCGTTGCCTATTATTTTTTCACTGAAACAATCTTTCAATATGTGTGTCAGTTATCTTCTTTAACTGTTTTACCTCTTGTTAATACATAAACCTGTAAAAATATCTAAGAGCTGTCCAAGTGTTATAAACATTGAATTTCCCTATCAATACCAATACATTACGTAGTCAAGATATATGATTGTCTTTCATTATTATCATTTATATTTGTGATTTTTTTTTCTTTTTCTTGCACTGACATCTTTGCTTGTGCGTGTCCAGCCATAACACAAATACCTTGTAAACACAATGTAGACGGGGATTTCCAAATCCTGTTAACATGAAATATTCGTTCTTACGTGTTATAAAGCCATTTAGGTCGTTTCATGGTAGGTGATTTGGTGGATACCCCTTATAAAAAACAGTTGTCGAGGAAATCAATCAAATACGTTGTATTTATGTCCGAGGTACTATAGCAACCACGATAATCTCGAATATTTATACACAAGAAAAAATCATGTTTTATAGTATAAAATTTGTCAATAACTTGTTGTTTACTGTTCAACTAAATATTATACCATATAAGGTGTGTAAGCATATTGTATATAAAATGTTCTGGTTTGCCATGTCCCAAGCATGAATCGACACTAACAAAATGAACTGAATCAGAGTTTTCAAATAAACACTAGAGTAAAACAAATGTTTTCGATAATATTTTTTTCTATTCAGAGATGTTTAAATAATAATGTATAAACTCCCCTAGGTGTATTACTGGGGGTACAGATGTACATGCTATATATTTTAATGTTGAAAAACTACTGAAGTGGTTTGTGTTTTAAATCTGTCATCCACAAATGCCCGTCCGTGACTATGCACGTTATCATAAATACAGTAATTTATAGCCTTACTTCACGCGAGTGTGTCGCTCTAGCAACACATGTGTTTCGGACAGATGCTCTAAACTATATAAATCTGCACGACACATAATTTGAATCACAGGCCGACCGGCGAACGAGATTGACTATATTGATGCAAACGGGTCAGGTATGTATTTAAAAATTATCACATGGAATTGTTTTATTTGAGTATGAACGAACAATATTCCTCAAAGCAATGTATGATACGCTGCTTACGTGATATTTTTTTTTGTATATACGTGACTTAAAAAAATAGCTATTTTGATACAAAGTTTTTAACATATTGATTTCCTTGTTTTGTAGATCAAGATGAAGGCGGCCATTTTGGTATTGTTTTCGATGCTTGCGTATAGTAACGGTGAGTTAAACTTCAAATCTTTTCATATGATGTCGGTTGCTTTTTTCATATCATGAAATATCATAAGTTTGTGCTTTGTATATGTTTGTCTTACCTAAGCATGTAAACATGCGGAACTGGACTCACCGGCGATCTAGTTAATTGTAGCTCAATTGGTTTGATCCCCCGTCTAGAGTTAGAACTTTCTGTATTCGAATTCCGGTGCATTTTACTTCTCCTATGTTGTTATACAGGTTTCGTAAGAAAACATTCTTCGCTGCTTTAACATTGACAAAATATCCTAAACTAACATTTGTATTCCCCAAAGACTAAGAAGTGCCCTTGCCTAAGGAAAATATGTTTGCATAAGATATCCGTTTAAACTGAACCGATATCTCTAAAGGCAAGCATGTCACTTTCAAAAAATTCCCATATATGTATACATGTATATAATAGTTCCCTGCAACTTACAAGAGTTTCTGTTAGTTTTATACATCATTGAGAAAAACCTCTTGTGGAGGACTGACAAATTATGGCTTCCGCTGTTCTTTAAGACTTGTTGGAATTGTTGATTGGAGGAAGATATCTTAAGGATACGTTAATTAAGAGTTTAACGGTGGAAAGCTGAATATAAAACTATCCCGAAAACGATTTATATTTATATAGATAGAGAAGTGTCCGTTTGACCGATGCTTTAAGAGAGACACCGGGAACACACTTAGAAGCATTCCAAGAAATGCAAATGCAAAATATATTTCTGCTATAATTATGCATTTCAGTTGATGCTTGAAGTCAGTGATACAATTCTCAAACCTATTGTACATATCTGCCGCATTTAGCAAGTGTTATATGATCATTGTATCATTGAGACGACAATAGTACTGACTTCAGGAAGAAATGTCGAAGCATACCGAAATTTTAAAACGAACAATCTGAAGACATGAAATGTTTACAAAATATTTCACTCATCTACTAATGTTTAAGGAATGTATCAAATTTGTCATTGAAGTGGTCAGATTAGTCGACTTATCACTCTGTTAGGCGTGTTATGTGTTGATAATTATAATGTTATATCGATTACGAAATATACAATGAATGTGCCTTTTACAAGCAACTTAGATACGATTTTTTAAACATTTTTTTCAGCTCAGAACTGTTCAACCTCATGTGTAAATTCAACGACATGCGGCTGGACCTGCGAAGGTAAACAATCACAATCGCCAAAATACTTAAAACATTATATGAAAAATTCAGATAAAAAGATAAAATTTCGATAGCAATCTCGGTATCATAACAGCTTTGAATCCAAAATGAACAGAATAGTATACATATATACCGTATCTTATTTCTATTTTATTTTAGATTTAATATTGTTATAGGTAAGGTAAATGTATCAGTCATATTGAAAAAAAATATTTTCTATTTAAGAAATTGATGTGTTTACGAAAATTTCATTCATACAGATTCCAGTAATGAGATTCTAGATGGTACGTATAAATACTACGGCAGCATCATTCTTAATTATTTTCTTTAGTTATATCAATACCTACATCTTTATCATATATATTTATATTTATTTGAAATATCTATAAAGATATCGGTTACAATGTCAACGTAATTATTTCATGTAGTTTTATATTTTGATCTCTGATTTCTTAAGGATTGAATCCTGTTTTGTTGAGGTTTATTGGGTATAAACCTCAATGGGTCTTGAGATAAATTTTATGAACTGCGAATTTGTCTCAAGACCCACTAAGGTGTATACCCTATAAACCTCAACAAAACAGGATTATATCTGTATATTTTCATTTCAGTGCGATACTGTGGATATTTTTCGGATATTTTTTTTAATGTCGGACTTGTGCGAGTCTAACACCACAGAAGGTACCGAAGCTGATGAAAATGTATATTCACATGTATTTCGTACTAATACAGTATTATTGTAGTACTTATATACTTGAAATAAATCTTCAATATATTTGATTGATTATCCCAGGTCAAGTCAAGAAATAAGAACAAATATTTTATCAGGTGGGAATCGATCTTTGCGTATCAAAAGCATTTGATATATATATATATATATATATATAACCTGTTTTTTATGTAACTGCCTGCTTATTTAGTATGTAAGATGTTGTTAGATGTTACAACTGTATCATGTATTGTTTACATTTGCCAGCTGACGTAACCGGGTGCTCAAATACCCCTCCTACCTGTTCATATACAACAGGAACCTCAGGAAATGCAACCTCGGGAGAATGTTCAGCTGGGTGTGTGTCAAAAACCGGTGAGAAACAATCTAGTCACTAGGCTAGTTATCATTTTTATGATTTTATATTAATGTAAATTCTCCCAAATTAACTATGGGACAGATTGAAAAATGTTTTATTTACGTAGATCCCTGCTACAGTAGGAATTGTAATTCTGCTTTATTCAACTTCTTAAATATTTTTTATAGCGAAAAATAGTTTTCAGACATTCCTTAGAGAGAACCTGCCTGATAATCCTATACATGCGCAACGTGTATCAGTTTCTTATCATTCATCACACATGGGGATACATCGATATATTTATTGAATGGTAAAAAGGAATTTTCATGTAAATGTATATCATTTGATTTGAAACTATTAAATACATTCCAAAGTCATTTATTTATTTATAGCATATTTTATGTCACTTGAATGTGCTAAAATCAAAATATATTTTATTCAGCTTTTTTAGTCCCGAGTCTTCATCAACCAGATAATAGAACTCATAGCATAGTATATGAGAACTTTTACATTATACAATTATGGCTTTTGTGCTGGTGAATATGATAAATTTTACATAGTGTACTGTATCATAACCTACCTGCTGTTGTTACCAATATATAAATAAAGAGTAGCGTAGCTGTAATGATATATATATACATGCATAGTGAATTAATAAACTTTCTCTTTGTTATTTTAACCCGTGAAAATCTATCAAAAGTATGAAAACCCAAATGAAAATAATCGTTAACAAATTGTACCTGTATCTTCATATACAGAAAAACACTTACTCTAGGATATTTAAGCTGCTTCTTAGCAGACAATTTGGTTCAACTACACGTATTGAAGCTCATCAATAATAATTCTTACTGCTACACGTTTATAAACTCTTATCTAAGAGGATATAAAGAATGTATGTCTTTATCGGTTAATAAATAATACCGTGATGCTTATGTTTTTGTTGTTGTCTTTTTCAGGCGGAAGTGGATCATCCAAGCTTGAATTTCTAACACCACTACTTGTTCTCGGGACCCTGGCAAGACTGTGTTTCTATCCGTGATAGTAATACATATCGACAATGAACCATTAGACATCTGGAAACCATCGTTAGTTTTAACGAAACAAATGAAAGGTGTCTGTTTCCGTCCCTGTAACAAATGCAAGCGTTGAATCACATGACATGTGAGGAGCTGCACGTGCGTGCCTTACTAAATCAAAAACTGTTGAACCGTTTGCTGTTACAAGACAAAAACAGTTGCAAACACAAGAGAAAACAATATTTGTGTCTAATAAAGGACTTTAATAGGTCGATCCAAATGATTCAGTTCAAAGTTCAGATATGTTACTGAGTGTAATTTCGTCTGTTAGAATCTCGCATGCAGATAATCTGAGCTAAATGCTTAAATATTTGTATTTTTGAATGCTGATCATTAGTGAGTAAACGCCACAGAAAATTAAGATTTGCCTTCAGTTCTTTTTATTGATTGATTTTTTTCTTCTTAATTTTCCAATATGGCTCTTCATTTATCTCTAATTTTGTTTTTTCAAAAACCAAATCATATTAGGAGCAATACTTTATACACAGAAGCCTTTGCCCAGTCAAAGTTTTGCGCTTTCTTTGTAAAATCCACATTTGCCAAGCTTTACTTTATTTTCATTTCTAAAAACATGCAATGAAACGCAAAGGCATGGTTAATTTCACATACTACTTCAGTGTGATATAAACAGAGAAATTGCAACTCAAAGGTCAGAACTTTTAGGTTAAGCAACGAAGCTTTGTCGCGTGCTGAACCTAAAAAATCTTATATGGGATTGCGATTCCTATGGTAATATCAAATAGGATGATTGATAATTTTCCCTCCACACTTTGTAAACGGTAACAATAACGTGTATTACACCGCTCCATAGTCATTGGAGCATGAAATGTGTGACAATGGTAACACTGCATAAAGTGATGACGCGACTGTGACGTTTTCAGAATAAAAGCGCATGTGAGATGACGCTCCCTGGGAAGGTACATGTAACGATAAGTTTGTCTTTTCCCTTGCAAAAGCATGACTGCATCTGTAAAGTGTAGAAGCAAATCAATCGATGAAGCACCGTCATAAATGTTCTGTCAATTTGTTCACCAGGCATTGTATTGACTAGAATTTTAACGAAATTTTGTTAACTAGCTTGAATTGTAGCGTACAGACGCACATTGCAACACAATATAGTCAATCAATACTGTTTCTATTTAAAACCTCTTCCAACGATCAGTTTCAGTCACTCTAGCTGTGAGGTGATATTCTAATAAAAGTATTGTAAAGCTTTGACCTTTCACCCTAAGAAAGATCTAAACCTTATTGTATTGAAGCTTTGTTTCACCAAAAATCTTAAGACAATTGTGATAATATTAATATATCAATTTATGCACGAGACTTTAACACTGTAAAATCCTTACACATTCTTATATTGGGTAAAATAGGATATGGTCGAATTTATATTAAAAAACACCTGTTGTAACAGATTATTTTGATTTTTTTTAAAGAATGGAAATAAAAGAAAGTTACATTGTTCGCTATGTATCATTGCTTAAACTAATAAACGTTTGGAGACTGATTTCAATTAAGCTGTAAGAACACAGATAAATGCTATTAAAATTATATACATTCACACACATGATGTTTACATTTGTATTTGACTTTATACTACTGACACATGTGATTTATCACAAATCACAGCTGTTAACACAATTTTATCTCTAGTTTCCCTCTCTAAACGTGAATTACGATCATAATACGATGACTAATAACACAATACCCTACCATCAAACACTCGCGGTAAATTTTACACAATTGGCCGATATAAATTTAGATGTCATTTCGAGTTTGTGTTCTCAAGAGATGCATGGTTTTCATTTTAATTCGCCATAAATAACCCTGAATGTTTTATTATGAATTTGCATGGGAAAATATTCCAACATATTAAATGGAAGTTGTAAAACCTTATCTCATCTTCTCCATAGCCTTCGTATGATAAATAGTACATATAACCTAACAAAAATAATTAGTGTCATGAATTCATCGGAAATTTAAACAATACATCCTTACTCAGTTGTTTTGTTTCAATACAAATAGGAATTGAACACTTGTCACTTAGTCATTTCAACTGGTACTAGTGTGTGTTCTAATTCAATACATTATAATAGGGATATTATAATATTATTGACGCATAATACTTGTTTACAGCGTGCTTTCGAAAACGTCTGTTTCTTTGTCAAGAAAAGTGTGCAAATGACCGGTGTCTCGACTCTATTTCGTCTAGTACGTTTCACATTAAATAAGAGATAAAAGGACGCAAAGGCCGTATGGTATAGAAACATTTTCACTTTAATTGGGTTTCTGCATTGACAAAGAAAATTCTCAAATAGATGTTCCTTTCTGCGTATTGTTTGATTAATTTTATTTTTATGATGGTATGTCAGGTTTTGGAGGCACGGTAGTCTAGTGGTAGGACGCCAGGCTCGTGACCGAGGGGTTGCGGGTTCGTGTCTCGTCACGGCACTGTGTTGAATCTTTGAGCAAGATACTTTACTCTGCTTGTTCCAGTCTACTCAGCTGTAAATGAGTACGTGGTTGGAAAGTGCTAGAATTGTTGAATGCTAGCTGTGAGCGCCGAAATGGCAGCACCGGCTGTATGCTTCCCAGGGAGTTGAGAAAGGTATTGGCTGGTTGCAAAGGCCGTATAACCACGGATAATAGTTTGTGAACCGCTTTGAGACGACCTAAGAACGAGGTTGTGATAAAGCTACACCGTATATTGATACACAACGATACACACGCATGGATAGTCTTTATATATTTCCATTTCTTTCAAATGTCAATTTAAACGCCGTTTTGTATAAATAGCCTAAAAGTAACCAGTTACATTTAACCACGAAGAGATATATACATGTATGCTCATTTGTTGATAATTGATATCGCTATTGCTACCAATCTTTTCGGTAGCAAGTAGCTAGTTCGGACAAATTCATATTCTATGAGATATTGCGCTAAAAAGGAGACAAAAAGTGCTAAGTACATGACTTATACAGGATTGATTTCTCAGTTTTCTTTCAACTAGATAGTAAATGGCAATATCTGTAAAAAATATAAAATTGTTTCTAAACGACATTAAATATTAAAACTTGTCTAATAGAGAGACTCTAATAGGTGATAACGACCACACAAAGAACAACGTTACAACACTTTCCGCAGAATCATTCCTGATTTATATCAAAGAAAACCAGAATTGAATCAAAGATGTGGAAGTTTTAAGACTGCTACATGTATTTGACACTTTTAATAAGAGTTATCTTCCTTGAGATTAGGTTCGATATTATTCAAGTTTAAATTTTATTTTATTGAGAAAATATAACAGAAACTCAATTATTATGTACATAATGCAAGGAAAGAGATTACTTACATTTTCATCAATTGCTCTCCTCACTCAATAAATGGTTTGTTTTTTTCATTTCTTTGTCAACTTGTAGTGTTTGTCCTCTGTTAATTACCATATAACATACAATATTTTTTTTGACACGGAGGCTATGGTCTTTGTTTTTGATTCCATGCAACCCCTATAACATTTGTTCGTACACTCTATAATATGTTATTCGTTCGTTCATTCATTCGTTCCCACGTGCATTAGTCTGTAACTTTAATCTCCTCCTTTCTTCCTCGTTCAATAGCACGCTCTGTTTGTTCCATTCAATTTTATGACTTATCAAAGCAGATTAAAATCAGATTAGGGAGAAATTCACATAGAAAGGATTTAAAATAACCTGTTTATTTCAAAATATTTTTTATTGAGAATGGTACAGGGAGCGATGATGAAACATCAGAAATAACTCCAAAGATATAGAAGGATTACAGGGTATGATCCTCATTAACGATACAAAAAATAGCATTAAAATGATAAAATGTCACAAAAGACATGCTAAATAAATTTAATTATTAATTGAGTAAACACCAATAGGTCAGTTCACAACTTTTATAGTTAAAATGCAGCGAGAATACATTTTTTCTATAAATAATATTCGGATTTCCTGTCGTTATAACATGCGCACACTCCCTTTATTTTTCCTTTTTGAAGATCCCCGTCCCACGGCACTGTAGTTTTTCGTATATGCAGTAACCCACCCCACCCCCTTGATTCCGTTCTGGATATTACTGTCGCAGTTGACAGTGTAGCTCAGTCGGTTAGAGCGATATTTTAACAATCTGAAGTCTATGGTTCGAACTCCAATCTATTCTCAATTTTAACAACTGTGTTGGTTATCCTTTGGTTGATTTTATCTATATAATTTTCAAAATTTGGTTCCTTTTTCAGAAATAATTGATTTAAGATATAACCATGTTGGAAAAATCTATAATGACAAGATTCAGAATCTACAGCTTTACTTTGATTTCTTTTCTACTCCAATAAATAATTCACAAATATAATGAATAATAATAATAATTTCTGACTAAACTTGTTATGGACACCTCCGACTTCACCACCCAACACCCCCGTACCGCTCCAAAAACTAAAACTAAGTATCGTTAACAGTCTTTTCGATATGATTATAATTCTTATCTTTGATTAATAATTCCTTAAAGGGAAACCATACTTGTAGGACTTATAAAAAGATATAAAACAAACAAATTTAAGTATTGCAAGGCAATCCATAGTCCCCCGCCGGTAATGATATCTATATTAACAAACAGTACATTTATGTCAGGATGTACCTACTGTTAGGAAAGTATCCTGATACATAATTCTCGCACTCCACCATCCCAAGATGTCCTTGTCCACCAAATCTGGATACTTGAGGTGAGATAGTATAGAAGGTATGCCTTGGATAGACATTTTCAAATGTAAAGGTCAAAGGTCAAGTCATTGGTAACAGAGACCTTCTTCTTGCATTCTGCACTCCGTCATCCAAAGATGTCCTTGTACACAACTCATGTTTATCAAGGTGAAAGATATACCGCGGACAAATATTTACAAAAGTACATTGTAAAGGTCGATGGTCAAGTCATAGGTCAAAGTGACCTAATTCTTTCACCCTGCACTCAGCCATCTTCATTAGATGTCCTTGTTCACCAACTCTGGTTTGTCCTGGTGAAATAGTATCAAAGATATGTCCCCGACAAACATCTCGGACGGAAGGACGGAAGGTGTTGTGAGTGTAAAAGACCTGGATTGGAACACTGGACTTTAGATTGTTATACTATCCCTCTGACCAAATGAGCTACCCTGGCAATAGAAGTGTTTCGCTAAACTAAACTACAGTTACATCAAACGAAAGTTAAGGGGAGATTACTACATATAGAACAAAATCACATTACAGTGAGACAGGTATCCTTTAGCGACTACGGCGATTATGAAAGAGTTTTAACGGTGAAAAGATTAATTATTGATCTAGATAAATTCCTGGGTTTAACGTATATTAGGAATGCCAGGAAATACCCCGCACTTTTCCTGGTGTGAGATAACAGAAGCATACACCCCCTTGAGGATGAGATATGGGAATCTCCACAAAGAGGTAGGGGATTCTATTAATCACAATCTCTGGTGTCGCCTAGGACTTCTGTTTAAGCAGTTTGTACCTGTTTCTAACAGTAATCTTGTGTTATCTGTGAAACACACATGTAAATTGTCGTTTATATCTGTTTCGAAGTACCATGATCCTTCGACGTGACAAGATAAAGTTTTGGAGATATGTTTATTACATGAATAATGATATATACGCAGGCAAAATTATACCTTGCAAAATTTGAAGACATTCTCGATTCGATTTACCTTTACAAGATCTACTATATCCCCAGGTGGCCGGGGTTGACCCCGCTGTGGTAGTAGTCAGATTCTCACTCCCAACGTAAGAGGTAGCGTGAAGCACACCTCTGAATAGGGTCTTAAAATAATTGCATTTATATTCTTCACCCGACCCGTCCATCGCTAATAAGAAGACCATATAATTCCTTTATACAAAGTTAAACTGCATTTGAATCGAATTGTTACATTTTCAACTAGAAAAATTATTTCATTCGTATTTGATGGGAGTTATACTAGAGCTTAACAACAATTCCCCTGTTGTTTCCCGTCCCTCTGTCCGCCATCCTCAGAAAGCCACAAAGTACAACGATAATTACTTTGGAAATCATGATTTATATATCCGCTAAAAAAGAGTGATTTTACAGATATGATAGTTTAAATAATTTTAATTTCATATTTTCATTTTACATGCATTTGCAAACGATCCTAATAGCGCTCCCTGAAATCGTGCAAAGAGATTTCCATTGGAACATCATATATTGTATGGCGTATATAACGTTAAGATATATTGCATTCTGTTATGACGATACGAACAGAAGTTCGCATATACTTTATGTATTAATTTAGGGGTAAAGATATTGACAATGGATTGCGTTATCATTGAAAGCACTTACACGTTTCTCGTTCAAGACAGATGATTGCAAAAAATGTGACGCAAAGGACATTTAGAAAGATCAAACAGATTAAAGTGTGCGTGAACAACAGTTTCGTAAATACCCCCATGTCACCAAAAACGTTGAAACCACTTAAGACGTTATCACGTAATAGACGTTTGAAGAGTGTTTACGATGTCACGCGCAATCTAAATGGCGAATATGAAGATAAATACACCCGGTATATAGGCATTGCAACAGGTGACGAAAGTGGTATTGAAAGGGATACAAAATGCGAAGATAAGTACATGAACATCAGTCAAGCTTTATATGAGGTAAACATTAGATATGTTATCCCCAAAACCTGACAAAACGTATCAATTGTCAACGACTGGTATGTACACTTTACGATTTGGGCGATTGTTTTTGTGATTAATTGTCTAGAACGATAAATCCTTAGACATGTTCCCTACTTTCTCGCGTAATGCGGCCATTACAGAAATTAATCGAGTGATTTATACAGTGACTTGGTACGTAACTCTTCATTTTCAACTGAGTTTTATATAAGGCCGAACTTTTGTTCACTTCGCATGTTATTACATCAAGCAGGCGGATAATTCTGTAAGTATGATTATATAGCAGGTACGCCAATGTTCATATCTAATTCCAAGGAAAGAAAACGTTCTTTCATTTATATTTCTAAAAGAAACCCCTATTTTGAAATTGATAACATACATTTTTATATTCGTTGATAAATACTTATTTGATTGAGTTGCTGGGCTCCATTCTGTTTGAATATATATTCAAGATTCTTATATATTGACCATAACTTAGTGCCTGCAAAGCTTATTGATGAAAAAAACATTAAAAATGAAATAAGTATCTTTCATTTTTAATATGTCCAAAAAATCAAGAATACGTCAGGCATGAGACGATTGTGTTTATTTCTGACCTTGTAAGCATCGTTTGTAGAATTTGATAACAAAGAATTATGTAATTAATAATGACATATTGATTTATTGATTAATTGAGTTATTGACCTTTTTAACTCCGATTCTACTCATTTCTGTTTGTAGATGAAAATGGAGTTAAGTGTTTACATTTTCGCCTTTGTTTGTACAATTACATTTGTACAATGTAAGTATATCTTAAAACATTTGGACGCGTTTATTCTAGTTTAAAATCATGTAAATGTTCATTCCAAAATAAAACTGTTGTAGACTTTTCCGCGTTACTTGCATGATTGATTTCACAAGAATATAATGTTACTACTTTTATTACTATTCAGAATTGTGTTAGTTATAAATTTATATTATCTATATACATGTATCTTAAGCACATAAAACATTAAATTGGTTTTGAAACCTTGTGTAGGAAATTTCATAACTTTCCGTCAATATAACATTATAGGAGCGAACAGCACCAGCATTGTTAAACAGAACAGTTGATTGTTTGTGGCTACGTCTTATGTGACATCATGTTTTGTGAAAATATACACTTTTTTCAAACGAATGCACAGTGATTCACATTTAATATAACTCTTTATTATATAATATAAGGCTTCTGCAGTGCAATAAAGGGGTGCAATAAAATTGATATTGAACGTGTGCAATAAAGATGCAAATGAGCGCGCGAAACCGTGGGAACTAGGTCGTATTCCTACGCACTACTACTACTACTACTACTATAGTATAGGCCTACTACAACATGGCTGACGTAAACATTGGGGATTCTGTTCGAATATCGCGATATGTGCTGGGGGGACGTTACACTACAAAACCACACTGACGGACATGAATATCTAGAGTTTACGGAAAGACAAACAAAAACCAGGACAGGGGAGAACACCCGTGATGTACGCAAAGTAAAACCAAAATTGTGGGCAAACACTGAAAATCCCGAAAGGTGTCCTGTTCATGTTTACAAATGCTATGCAGATATGAGACCTACGACTTACTGTAAAGGATCAGATCCATTTTATATAGCTACTACAACAAAAAGCTCACCTGGAAGTCATGAGACTTGGTTCAAGCGCCAACCCGTTGGTATCAACAAGCTAAAATCCATGATGCAACGTGCCATAAAGGGAGCAGGAATCCAAACTGACAAACACTTGTCAAATCACAGTGCGAGGAAATATCTTGTCCAGAAATTGAACGATAATAACATCCCCGCTAACCATATAATGCAAATTTCTGGTCACCGAAACATTTCTTCTATTAATAATTATTCACACATCAACACGAATCAACACAAAGAAATCTCCAAAATACTGCACGGAAATCCAACAGCACCTGAGACCGGATGCAACACAACATCACTGACACAACAATCAATGGCGTGTAACCAGTCAACTTCCTCTGTTGTCAGGGTCCAGGGCGGTTTCCAAAGTATCTTTTCAGGTGCTGTCACAGGAGGAAACATACAAGTTCATGTTTACCAAGGACCTCCTCTGAAAAAACGCGCCCGTGTTATAGAAAGTGACAGTGATTCTCAGTAGGCCTAATATCCAACACATGTGTTTTCGGTTTCCGACGACCTTCACAGTGCGCGCGCTCTTACACTGTTCATGACGTCACCGATGAAAAAAAACAGTTTTTTTCCGAAGCGAAAAAAAAGAAGTCATATTTTGTAAACTTTTATTATTTCAATTGTTATCACAATTAAAATGATCGTTAAAAGTAAAACTGTTGGCCATTTATTATTCTGATAAATTTCTGCGGACTACTTTTGTTAGCGGAACATGCTCTCAAATTAGCATATGTGATGCGTCCTTTCTCGTCGTCATTGCATATAGAGACGTTAGGCCTAGTATTGAAACCACTTATGTAGGTAGGTTTCTCGAATTATATAATAAATAGAATCTAACACTCGTGTTCATGTTATATTGAATTTATTGAACTCGTATATTAATTTCATATGAAACACGCCAAAGGCTCGTTTCATATGAAATTAATATACTCGTTCAATAAATTCAATATAACATGAACACTCGTGCTAGATCCTCTATTTATCAACCTGTGTCCAGTTGTTCAAAAGATTAATTTTTTTTGAAATACAACCATTAACTAGGTTAAAACTTTCCAGATATCAAGTATTTAGTAGGGTAAATTAACACGCGAGATCGTTCGATTTTATCTTGTATATGTGTATATTGACAAACTTGTTAAACGGTTTAGATATGTTGTTAAATAGTGATTAACCTTATTATCTTTTGAACAACAGGGGTCAGTGTTGAAACACACTGGATATTTAAAAAAAATTGTGCATAAAGACTTATGATGCTGATTTTTGTGACACAAATGAAAGTTGAGCTTTTAGATGATTGAAATAGGAAAAGCATGGTTGAATTGCACACTGTTGTAATTGTTATCTGAGAGTTACAGAAAACATTAAATTATATAGTTTACAATCGGCTTGTCCTCTTTGAAAGGTGCGACAACACCGATAACAGTAAGCACGGCGCCAATAGCTCCACCAGCTGGACGTACAAATGCACCAGTTGGAAGTACACATGCACCAGCTGGAAGTATACATGCACCAGCTGGAAGTACACATGCACCAGTTGGAAGTATACATGTACCACCTGGAACTACACAGGCACCAGCTGGAACTACACATGCACCAGCTGGAAGTACGCATGCACCAGTTGGAAGTACGCATGCACCAGCCGGAACTACACATGCACCAGCTGGAAGTACGCATGCACCAGCCGGAACTACACAAGCACCAGCTGGAAGTTCAGCAAATTCTTCTGACAATGGTACGTGTACTAATAATTGAAATACGTATGTATTACCGATACCGTCGTCCTCGATTCTGTAGGAATTACGCTCACACACGCTCTCTTCAATCCTGGAATATGTCAATGCAAATTTGAAGGCACAAACATTGGTCTCAGGTAAAGCAAACCTAAATAATCGCGTGGCTAATACCTGTCCTTTAAAGATTACAAAAGAGTGACACCCGACTTCAAAGTCAGTAAATGTTTACCGTGACGCGACTGCGAGATTAGATCAAACTGGTCTCCTAGTCTCTTCAACAAGATTGCGCACGCTGAGCCTTGTATTTTGCTATGACATGTTCCGGGGGTACAGAAAGCGTACGTGAGCATAACCCCTGGAGCAACAAGAATGCGATACCGTGTATCATTGAACACTTAGCTGATGCAACCCGAAAGTATTCATGTAAATCTATATTAAATCTAGTTAATGCTAAAAGCATGTACAGGTACAACCATCGTACCCCCAGTGTGTCAGAAATGTTGGGCCACCTAAAGCTGCGCCCTCTAGCAGATAGACGTAGAGATGCCCGTCTTACCATGCTTCATAGCATTGTAAACCAGAAAGTCGCTATCGTAAAATCAGACAGATTAATCCCTACAGTTAGAAAATCCCGAACAAACCACCAGTTTTCGTATCAAATTCCTAACTCAAAACCCCAGACCAGAAAGGCATCATTCTTCCCTCGAACTGTACCCGAGTGGAATAAACTCCCACCTGACATTATTTCGAGCCCCACAACGGAATTCTTCAAATCAGCCCTCAACCGTCACTTTTCAAACGCAAATTAGACCATCTCGTATCTTTTAAAAACAATCTCTTTCCATGTTTCACTCCTCGTCTGACATTTTATCTTCAAATTGTTGAAGTTGGTGAGTACCATTTAAGAGTAGAAGTAGAAATGTCAACTGATAATGTATATAAATTCAGAAGGGTTTGGTTTATAAAACGTTAATTGTTAAATAATACTAAATTTCTCTAAAAGTGTCTGACCAGTGCTGTATAGCACAAGTAATACCAAAATTAACTATCTTCCAATTATTTGTCTGAACCAAAACATTCCACACTAAGTACGTCTCAAAAAACTTTGGATCCAGGTGATGTCACTTGACGAGGAATGATCATGTGACAACGTTATTATATATTTTGATGATTTGTTCATTCAATTTGAATATCAAATAAATTGATCATAAATATTCTCAATCATTATAACGAAGAGAATGTGTTAAACCATAATGTGTTTTACTTTTGCAGGACTTGGGAATGGATCGCATCAGCTTGTCAAACCGTTGGGCCCGCTGGTATTCGGTGCTATCGCCGTCCTCGTGTACTTTCTCTAAATGATCTGCAACTTGAACAGTACACGTCAATCCGAAAGCTACATAACAATGTCTAATGACGATTGATAATGGCTTCAGTAGCTTTAATACTTGCATGTATTAAATGTAACTAATTGTGAGGTAATGCAGAAACAAATTCCTCAAGTTAAATGCATATTGATTAAGTTAAATAAATACAAACGACAGTAAGAAACGTGCCTATCTACGACAAAGTACATTACAATAACGTTATAATATATTCTGCTTGTCTTGAAATTTTCCACTCGGAATGGATATTTTCAACAGCTTATCATTTTGATAAAACATTGTTATTTCTCTCTGCACATGCTTTATATTGGCATGATATAAGGACACTCGTTAATATTCTAATATGTGATTTGCTTGACTTCTGCTCATCTCGTGTGTTACCTGTTCAAAACATTATTGACACTTTGCAAAGGAAATCGTGGTTCTTGGAAATACATCGAACTTTCAGGGCAAAATTAACACTGTGCAAAAATTGCCTAATGAGTGGAGGGCAAAAGTACATCTTTGACTAGGTGAAAATGTCCATGCATACACTATTATAGTTTAAGGTTGCAATAGTTTCACCCAATGGTTCAAGAACAGTTAATGACTGCGAGACAAATAACCTGTTCAGATTCTAGCCCCTATAGTACAGTACACACCTCATTTTGTAACATGTCTCTGAGTTATATATTCTTTACTGTATCGATGACAATGTTTTCAAAGGCGTAATCACCTGTGTATATGTTACGTTTATCTTTCAAGATACAACGTGGTATACTCTGCTAGTGCATTTAATAGTCCCCGAGGTTTGACATAGCCTTGAAAGACAGCTATCTGTTTTGAATAATAGCATGGTTTATTATTTTCACACAATAAACAATCTGTTTAATTTGAAATTTACCAGTGCACCTTTTAGTTAAAAAATATAAGCCAAGGGGTTCTATGCACCTCCCCTTCATTTTCAACAATAGTTTAGAACAATTCAAGTTTCCAACTATTTGTCCCCTAGAATCATCCAGAAGGACAAACAGCTGTTATGATGCAGTGTAATTAATGTTTGGCATACTGTATCTATTATAAAATGTTGTTAGGTTAATAGCTACATCCCACCAATGGAAGAGGAACGCGAACAAGCGTCTGAATCTGTAAGTAAAATGTGACTTTGTTGTTGTGGTCGATGTTTGATACATGTACATTTACTTGCTTATTGTTTTGTAATTAAAACGTTACGATTACCGTGAATGTGTTGGTCTACATTTCAGTATAATGTTCAGTTTATGGCACTGGACGAAGGGTTTCATTATAAAATTACAGCTATTTCATGGTGAACATCCTGTGATATAAATCAAAGAAAACATTAAAGGCCGAGGCGATAAGTTATTTGATAAAATAGTTTGATTTCCATCAGCAGCAATATTCACCTATGGCTCTGCCTTCGGGAAACATGACCGCTTGAGGTTACAAACAGTTATGCATGTATTAGATAATATCATACTTCCTACATCCCCATTGATTGAATCATAATCACTCGGTTGTCAGTAAATTGTAATATTGACTCGGTGTTACTTTTTCTTAGAAACATCAGGTCAATATTTACTTTATGACGTCACTTTAATTGTAGCGTCATAATGCCCTCTGTCATACGCAGTACTTTTCTCTTGACGATTTGCTTACTTTCCGTCTTGTTTCATGATAAAAGCATCATAATTTCATACCTTATATAACAATTCAGGACTTTTATTTCGGCGAATAAGTGTTATATTATTGACTGTGAAGTGATATTGAGTGTGAAGTAATATTGACCTCGACTTCGCCTCGGTTAATATCGCTTTCTCAGGTCCATATAACAACATTTTCACCTTAACGTAAGTCAATTATTGATAAAAAGCTTCATCAGATAACTTCTAGTTGTCAGTTTCAGCATGAAATCCCATATTAAACTTCAATGAACACTCCACAGCAGGGATAGTTGTGATGGTGAGGTGTCAATGTTAGACACGCTCTCAAATATATGTTATATGGTGTTTTCCATATGCATATATTACTGACAGAAATAACTGGTGTTTCGTTTTCAAATATTGCTCCTTGATACAGATAACACGTTGTTTATCAAATGACTATCAACAGAATCACCGGAGGGTTTAGAATCAATTTTTTATTTTCACCCCAGCTTCATGATTTATGAACTAGGTGCGTAGGAGACAATTTACCCACGTATTTAAGTAGTTAGTTTTGTAAAACAAGGATTGGTATTAACGCCATCATCAGAACGGGAGAGAAGCTAAGAAATACACTTGTTTTTAGTGCAGGTGAGTGACAAAATTACTGTTTCTCAGTGTCAATACATTATCACTTTCCTGAAAATTACATTATCTTTCAAAATAAATAAACACCGATGATCAAAATCAGTTTAAAAACTGTATATATTACTAAACGTTAAGGGTACAGTAGTGCGTGTGATTTACGTTTATCTTATCACAACTGAGAGTTTTTTTTTATTAATCTCGGTTTAGAAATTTAGAAACGACAGTCGTACTTTATATATGGTATTGACATATTTTTCTGATAAAAACATATCCGTTTGGTACGCCGGGTATTCCGTCTTTGCGTATTGCAGAGTTATCTTCTCTTGGGAGCAGGGATTGATTGTTACGTCACTTGTTTGTGAGAGTAACGTCATCAATGTTTGCGAAAACGACGTAATTTTCTCACACAAACCAATGACGTTACAATCAATACCTGCTCCCAAGAGAAGATAACTTAGCAATATGCAAAGACGGAATAAGACAGACGATTAACCAAATTCATTAAAACTGACGTTTTATTTTGTGAGTGATTATAATTGTAGATATGTATAAAAAAAAAATGAAATGCATATCAGCAAATAAGAGCGGAGTACTGTCGTATCTTCATCAACGATTTGTGTGATTTTTACTCAAAATAAGGTTAAGACGGTTAACATATGCTGTATTATTTAAAGGAGTACAATATGTGTAAGTTCTTAGTGAAGTACTTCAGATCAGATTCATAGTTGTGCATTAAGTAGGTCATGTGGCAGGTCTTTGTAGCCTTTTGAATTGCTTAAGCCCATTTGCTCTCTGAGTGAGTAGTCTTTAGTTTTGATTAAATCGGACTATGAACATCACTCTCTGAGTGAGTAGTCTTTAGTTTTGATTAAATCGAACTATGAACATCACTCTCTGAGTGAGTAGTCTTTAGTTTTGATTAAATCGGACTATGAACATCAATCAATATTTTTTGACATATAGTTTTTCATTTGTTACTAAGTTGCCTTAGTTTTATCGATTTATAATTTTCTGACACTTCTGTATTCTCTCAAATACCTCCTCGAATGTTTTACATGTATATATATATTATCTGGAATGTTTATTTAAATGCGATATATCATTGTAAAATCATTGTAATCATTGCATGCGAATATACATATACTCGCCATGTATGTCACGGATCGTTGATCAAGGAAAACAAATAATACAATATAGTACCAAAATGTTGTTTTAAATCTTTAATATAAACATTTTTGTAAGGTGTTTATCCTTTTCATACTTATATGCTATTTTGTTGTATATGTGACCCTAAACTTTCACTTCTTGATACACATACCAATCGTAATGACCTAGATGTTTAATAATGCAACACAACACTAGTTTAAAGGCACAACGAACAATGGTCACTAGCTTAAGTATACGATAATCATTTAAATACTTTGTCAGCGTCAGCTTGTAAGCTTCGTCTACTTTTTTCTTTATTCTGTAAATTCAATTTTAACTGGAGTTGAATATGTGTGATATGTGATAGAGACGGCCTAAAATGAATATAGATTTTATTTTTAATTTTTTTAAGGACATAATCTAGGAAAATATTTATGAATATTTTACGCACATATGAAGGTGTCAAACTAACTAATCATTAAGAAATGAAGCATTCAGTGTATATGCGTTTTACAGCCTAATCGCTATTGTGTTAATTATTACACATTGTATTTATACCAGCATATCGAGTCAGCCCATGCGGTACCTACACCACGTTTATGTGTATTGAACACAGGTCTATATCGTCTACAGAGTAAATATATATATATAGTTAGAGACATTTATAATTACAGGTCATGAGTCGGTGTGAATTAGACGAGTTTTCAGTAAGAGCATTATCACTTTGGAATAGAAACACTTGTACAATGTGTATGAGGTAGTCAAACGAGAGAGTGCGGTGTCGAGTTCTGTGAGATTTTGGGGACTTCGTTATAAACAATGACAGGATGACCCTGTCCTTGGATGATAACGATGTCGTGATATTAAAACAGGGCTGGATATATCGACAAAGTGAGTACAATTCTTTATCTAGTGTTTTAATGGACTTCGAGACATTTGTTGTTTTTCGAAATATAGTCAAAGTTGTAATGCATTTTGATTTTCAGAGGGAGAGGAGAAAGGGTTATTGCGATTGGTTTAGTTTTTACTGAATACGATTAACTGTCTTGATCAAGTAAAGTTTTAAACCAGACATTCGGTTTATATAGCATACATGTACATTTGATTTCATGTTACTTCCTCTTGCGTTTTCCTTCACTTTCACTGAAATACATTCAATTAGTGGTATACATAGTAAATATAAAGTATAAATATATCGTGATATAATCGAACATAAATCCTGTTTTCCTGTCCTGATGATTAGGTAGGCTATCTAATATTTACCCGAACGTTTATCGTATGTGCTGTGTATATTCTAAATACATTTGACACCACAACCCGATAGACTATTTATGTAATTCAACAAACTGCCTGGACTCGTATAGTATTCCTTATTAGAGGTATGTTATTAGAGTCACATACATTGACAAACGACGATCTGGTTGAACAAAAGCAGGAATCATGGATCAATGATTATTAAAACCATTTCTGTACTTGTCCTCTTTGTATTAGCTTTAATCTCTGTCCATTTCTTGGCTGAAATACGCTTCTTTCCCTTGTGCCGTGACAATGACGTTAATTTAATGACGTTCCTTTTTATAATCTAATGACGCTATACTATAAATACACTGTTGTCATAGAAAGTATTCTTTTTCGCCGAAAGAGAAGGGAGTCCAATAAACATCATTCTTTACCGTCGAAGTACATGAATAATGTGGAAAATCGGAAACACCGATGTGTGATTCTGGTAAGTCAAACACTTGGTTTGGACATATAGGAATCGTACCCCTTGGGTTTCGATTTCTTCGTCATACCTTCAAAGTAGTGGACTATTATTTAAATATGTGTAACAAGCGTTTGTAGTTTGTCATTATATAATTTGATATTTGTTAAGAAATGAAATTTCGTTAGCTATGAAAACATTGTTTAGATATTTTTTAATGTCTGGACACTGCAAGAAAACATAACTGTTCCTAAAACCAACCTAGTTCCAATCATGCAGTTATATGACTTATCAAACATATCTTAACGCTTTGCATTACGTGAATTTTTTATACATTAATACTTTGAAACACCTTATGCTCATTTCAATTTCTTTTCAACGAATTTTCGATTTGATATTTCAAATAGCCTGTTTCTCTTTACCTTATATACCAAGACAAATCGGCTTGATGATATCAAACGTTGAGTTTAAATTGCTAACGATTAAAATGTCATTATGTTTTTACAACATATACCCACATGGATATACTGTGCCTTTGTCATTAGTCTGTTTGCACTTACTAGAATCTACACAGGAATAAGATAGACTTCACTGTAACGTAAAAGGTTTCTATTTGCACTATAAACCATTGTTGTACAAACACCACTACTATAAATAATTATTTGTTAATCTCTTGTTTAATCGTCTGTGTGATATCAATTGATGATTCTGAAATATGAAAACCTGCTTTCTAATCGATATTCGCCATTAAATCTGACAATGAAATACTGAATGTTTAGTACGGCATTGTACAATTTCAAACCATGTGAATATATGTGGGTCCGTGTATGTGGGCATGTATGCACCCAATGTTGCATATTTGTATCACAGAAAAAGCACATGGAGATGTATACTTGTATCAAAACACTAATAGCTGTGTAGGAATTACAGGGAAAAAAGTATATGCTTATGTGCAGAACGTTTCCATTTATGTTTTGTTAATTGGTATCTGTGATGTTTTGATTCTGGCAATGGAGGGAAATTGATTATTGTTGTAACACACGTCACAAAAACAACTTTAAGGCTTCCAAAAACTGTTAATAAGTATTGAAAACTGGATTCTTTTCGACAGTAGTATATCTTTGATAAATTATTTCTGTAAAAACCCCTACCTTGTTGGACTTTCATGAAAAATAGTAAAGATGAAATAAAACAACATTAATAAATATCACCGGGGCTTGACCGAATTCGAACAATGGATATCAGGGCCCAGTTTTTGAAACGGTGATGAGCTTAATCACTGATAATTTTATTTTTGTTGTATCTTTAAAACATAACCATTCACTGAACTCCAAGACAGCTTTTATTACATCCGAGAAAATTACATGCAGGCTTTACTTTGTATAATGACCACATATCTAGAGATTGAAAAATGTCGTTAAAAAATGATTAAGCAATTAACCACCTTTTGAACAACCGGGCCCAGATTTGTTTTCATGTATTATCCCTATAACCAACTTGGCAACCTGGTCAACGGCTGTGTCCTGGCCAAACTTAGCTTCAGGTATATCTTAAAGAAAAGGGGAAGTTACTGTATATACGAAAATAACATACTGCAGTTGGACAGGGATCCTTAAGTAGCATGTGTGTCAAAATATGTTTTCATACATGTAGAACCAATTGAAAATGCCAACCTGTTTCCGGAATACTCATTAGACAATCGTCATGCCCCGTGTGATGTTAACTATGGTGATCATGTAAACATTGCAGTTGATGGTTTTATTACTCAGTATTAAGATTTATACAAGCATTTATTTACAACAAATACAAACATGAGCATCTGTCTAGAATATGACACATTCTGTGATAAAGACAATGAATCCCCTTATTATCATTAGTCGTTTATATATATACATATATATACCAGATGTTCTATTTCTTAATAATGTTTGATAACTATGCCACTCTTAGTGGGATTGTAAGTGGTTCATGTCAGATTTATAACTACATTAATTGGTTTAAAAATAATCAGCCCACAACAGCTTTGTTAATAGCGGTTCATTCCTCAATTATCTCTTTTGAGTAGTGGCACAGGTCGAAATATTAACATTATACTCATTCTTTAATTTGAAATTGACATTCTGCTACAACTAGCCCACCACCACTAGGTCGCTGGTTTGGGGCCTACTTGGGGCAGTTGGTCGGTGGTTTTTCTCTGGGAACTCCGGCTTTCCTCCACCACCAAAACCTGGCACGTCCTTAAATGACCAAAGCTGTTAAAAAGGCGTAAAACACAAACAAACAAACAAAACGTTTTGGCACCTAAAATCAACGGTAAAGGTTAGAAGGACGAAACTGTAATATATTGCAGTGTAATTTATTTCCGATAAACTAAATATTGAACTATATTAAACTAAATAATTATCTGGGTGTGTCTTACTTAAACTGATAAATAGTATGTCCTTGTTTATTTTATAACATTAATTAACTGTAAGTTGGTTACATTGCACATATCAATTTTAGAGAAGATTGTTTTTGGATTCGACAGATATATAAGCAAGAGAAGCGCCTTGTTCTGTTGTATATTGTTTAGCATGGGCAATCTCACTCAATAGATAAATATCTAGGTGTTCCTAAAAGTGCATGGACAAATATTCAAAAGCTAAAATGACCATATGTTTCTTTGTACATCACTATTTTGCTGAAAACACATAATGAGGTAAATATATAAAATGGAAATATATAATTTAACGCTTTTTTGAAATTGTTGACGGGGCTGTTTACATCGCATTAGAGCACGTATGCCGCATTGACGAAATTCAGTGAAATATTAGCTCTTTGTCGGGTGTTCTTTTGAAATGTTTTGTAGACACACATATAATGCATAATACTGTAGGGAAAAAAATGTTTACATTGTAAACAAAACGAACGGTTGGACAAAGAAGCATTATATCGGGAAAATAAATTACCTAATAGTAAACAAATATAGTTGAATACATTAATCAGATCACATAGTGAAGCATGGAAATCGTACACTATTCAACAAGATTTTGTTTTAGAAGAGAATCATACAAACGCACATACAGGTTAATTATGTTAATGCAAGTCGTCTACTGATTTCGTTTGACTACTTAATTATGTATGAGCGTATCGTTCAAATAATCTATTCGGAAAAATATCAAATTGTGGAGTGTAATGTAATAGATAAATATGTTCACGTATATCTGTTGGTTTAATGTACCTCAAATAGTATTGACACTTCCTGAGAAGGTATAATAAGAATATATAGTTCAGGAAACAAAATTGAATATCAGTTCGATTGTAAGTTTAAATATTGCAGATTGATAGTGAAGAAGCCTTGCTAATATCAATAATAGGGCGGTATTGGATAGTACAGCAAGCTACATCTAAATTATTTGTATATACACATGTGTAGCTGAACAATGTTCAATGTTTATTAAGAGACCAAGGACACGTCTTATCTTACCGTATGTCAATACATCAAGGATCCAGAAGGTAAACAGTCTTCCGGTTCGCTAAATGCGCACTTGATTCGTAGTTTATATTTGTTTAAAGTCTTTGTCAAATCCTATGGACTTAACGAAGTCAACTTGAGAGCATGTTTGTTACAATGAACTACGACGTTTTGTAAATAATAGATAACCCAAACCTCAAAATGGAGATTTACTTGTGTTTTACGGTGTATGTTGTGTTCATTCACAGATAAAGTTTACGCTCCAAAGTTAAAAGAGAAACATATCAAAATCTATATATCTCAACCAATGATTATCGGCAATAAGCGACACAAATATAAAAAATGTATCCAATGCATTATTATCACCAAATGTAAGGGAATGAACTTATTTTACTGGTTAAATAGTGCTCCATGAAAGTCCCCCAATCAATTTTGTGGAATCACAATTGTGTATAAACAAGATGTGCATGAACACATGTGTGTATATTGCATTTCATGAAATATGATATATCATATTAATTTAAATCTGAATATGATAGGCGTACATTTCTAAATTCAATTACCTTTTTGTCAATACAAATACACAATGACAAAATCTGTTGAGAAAATGCTGAAAGATTCAAATTGAACTGCGGAAAGAGCTTAACCAATGAAACATGATCACTTCCTGGTCAGTTACTTGTCAAAGCGCTGACAGCTAGGGATACATTATGCATAAACTCAGATAAACAGTGTTTTAAGATAAATCCTGTGTGTATGTGCTTTGATAGAATGATTTCGTAACAGATTGCTTCTATAGAAATATTCGATTATTCAAAATTGATTTCAAGGGCATGTGCACAAGGAAGAACACAGTCATTTTAACACAAAGGGGTAATTTAAAGTCCATATGTATGATGTAATAGTTTCAAAGAGACATATTCTATGTCGATTTAAAGTAATGACAGCTCCCTGCTACAGACTGTTGACTTTCCCTATGGAGAAGGGAGCTGTAGTTATTTATTGAAGGGTTGTCGTTATTCCATATATACATATATATATATATATATATATATATATATATATATATGTAGAGGAACTGGACTGGGTCAATCGTTGGTGACTCGGTAGCTCAACCGGTAGAGCATCCGTCAATAGTTGAGGGGGAGGGGGGGGGGGCTTAGACAAAGGAGGGAAGAATGTGGCGAATCTAGACTGGGTCGACGATCGTTGGCGACCAGGTACATGTATAGCTCAATTGTCTTTATTTATAATGTGGATTAGGGAGCTGTTGTCATTTATCATTTTGGGTAGGAAACTATCGTTATGTATCATATGGAGCAGGGGGTTGCCATTATTTATCAGTTGAGGTAGGAAGCTGTCAAAGCTTGAAACAACACTCACTTACATTATTAGTCATCTTATATATTTATAAGAAACCGAATCATGTAATAAAGTACACGCATTTCGTGGTACACTATAGTTTGCTATGTTTTGAAGATTTAGATAGGCGGACTAGTTGATTTGTGGATCTTGAAATGGCTTTTACATTACATAGTAAGATGAAGATATCATAATGATTATCATGTTCATCACTTTGTTGATAGCAAAGAAGATTGCTGCATTAAAATCAATTTATTATAACACATAAAAACATACAGGGATGTGTAAAGTAAACTGTACATAACAATCAACTAATTATAAATAGAAACATTTGATGACAATTTTAATGCACTAGGTCCTATATCCAACCATCTCCCTTGGTTGTTTAAATACTTCATTGTACAGAATATTGAATAGTAACAATATTGTAGTGCTGAACTAGGTTTAGAAATTACATTATGTGCGCTTCTTAGACCTACATATGTACATTATATGTGACTGAGACAGTTACCGTTGCTCGAGTGTCATTCAATTGACATATCGAACACATCTAGGTTCATGATTTGTGATCTACCTACTGGTTTATAAAGCATGGTATGGAGAGCATTACAACCTACACATACATGAACATTAATCCGTGTTTGACAAATGTTACTTAAACAGAGATTAAGGGATATAATGTTTTTGTAACAAAATAAACAGTTACACTTTAGTAGTTCTATATTTAAAACAGATTTGACCATTTTTTCAAAGCCTTGTTAGCTTGACCATTCAATTAAGCAAATGTTTAAATGCTATTTTTGAAAAACATCTGAAGATTGATATCTTTATATTTTTTTTTACCAAGTAACTATACTGAATCCTTAAACACATACTTACATTCATAAATTAATTTCTCTTTTTAATTTTGCGTTACGTTATTGTTAAGCTAATCAGTTTTGAAAAATTGTGCCATGTGTAGTTATAGCGCTCACATAAGAATTCAGGGATCGTACAATATTAATGTTCAAAAATATAATCAATAAATCGATATCTATCATTGATCTGGCCCTGAACTACCAATAAAATACATAAAATGAAATAATTTTTAAATTTCATGAACAAAGCCGGCCATGATTTTAGGTAAGTAATTTATCTCCTTAACTTCAGGAATGCTTTCCGATGGAAATACCTGAATAAAATTTCCATTAGTCAATGAACATGTGAAAATAGGGCGCAACAGACAACCTGGCCAGTGTTAGGTAGATATTAGCTTGACTCGACAGCAAATCTCACAATGACAAAGAAATCTAATTATCCGGTAGTGACGATTTTTATTCAATTTTGATATCTTTCAGTCTGTCTTAAACTACAAAAAGCGTAGTTTATCCCGATAGCAGTACTGTTAAGACATATTCATGTAGAAGTGTGTTCACATAACGAAACAAATTGGTGTTATTTTAGCTGTGTAATTAACTATAATTACGTTATTTGTTGTTGTTACATACAATAGTGAAAGATTAGTCTTAGCGACGTCATTATCATTTTACATTTCCATTATCTCTTTGTTCCAATACCTATTTAGATTTCTTAATAACCAGACTTTCTCATGAATACATTCCTCTGATTGTTAAAGAATGACTGATTTTGTGAAACAGATGTATATTGTTTATAACGTATTCGATTGCCTGTTTGATATGTATAGAACCGTGTCATATTTCTGCATGCATGTTTTTGCCGAGTAAAACTATTACAGTTGTCCCGCTCTAAAGAAGCTTTGGCAAAGCTTTTCAATAAAAATCAATTTCACAGTTAATAAGCTGACAACCGGTATTCATATTTATATAGCAAAACATGAATCGATTAACAGCTTTTAGATTAACATTGTTGAATGCGATGTCAATATCTTCACTCGTTTCTCGTCAACCCTAGTGTGGACATCGTGAGTGTTGTACGTGTGAAATATTTTATATACTGTAGAACTGGAATTTATTGCGATGCATAAAATCAATGTTCGTGTTTTTTGGCCCTAAGTAAGTTAGGGCTCAATACAAATATATTTCAGAACCAGTATCCACGCAAAAATCTCCACATCACGTCACTACACGAACATTTCTTCACGCGAAAATTGCATCCAGCAAGAATTTCTAATGCAGTATATTAATATATAAAAATGTATGTCAGGGAAATTAATCTTTGCATCTGAATAAGCAAGAGACATTTGAACACCACACCTATGATAAAATAATTAATAGTTTTGCTTGTTTTGTATAACAGAAATAAAAAAAAAAAGAGAGATGACAGAACAACAGAAATCGATGTATATGTTATCAATTTTAGTAACGCATTATCTGCCATCTTGAATTCTAGTGAATTATTAAATGTTAAATTTTAGGGAAATAGGCTTCGTAATAGTTGTGCAAAACGAAAACAAAATATGTTTTTACTAATTGAAGTTGACAAATACATAATTCAAACTAATACTTGGTACTTTGGTATTAGTAACAAGAATGCATACCGTCGTTATAGTTTAAATATACAGTTAAAGTTAACTCATTTAGATTCCCTTGAACATCACATTTATTTTGATGTTACAGAGACCTTTTTTCGGAAATGGAAGAAGAGTTGGTTAGTGATATGCCTGGGAGGAAGTCTGAAATACTACAAAGGAAAGCAAACACCGCGGCCACAGAAAACGTTTAACATCAAAAATGATTGCATGACCATTCGTACAGGTAAAAAGGTAAGTCTGTGCTAAAATATGGGCTGATTTCTACGACAAACAGGCAAAACGAAATTTATTTTACAATCCAAACAATTGTGTTATTCGACATTCTTTTCTTGTCCCAGCTGTATAAAGTATTCGACATGTTTTTCTTGTCCCAGCTGTATAAAGTATTCGACATGTTTTTCTTGTCCCAGCTGTATAAAGTATTCGACATTCTCGTCTTGTCCTAGCTGTATAAAATATTCGACATTCTTTTCTTGTCCCAGGTTTATAAAATATTCGACATTCTTTTCTTGTCCCAGGTTTATAAAATATTCGACATTCTTTTCTTGTCCCAGGTTTATAAAATATTCGACATTCTTTTCTTGTCCCAGGTTTATAAAATATTCGACATTCTTTTCTTGTCCCAGGTTTATAAAATATTCGACATTCTTTTCTTGTCCCAGGTTTATAAAATATTCGACATTCTTTTCTTGTCCCAGCTGTATGCAGTATTCGACATTCTTTTCTTGTCCCAGCTGTATAAAGTATTCGACATTCTTTCCTTGTCCCAGCTGTATAAAGTATTCGACATTTTTTTCTTGTCCCAGCTGTATAAAGTATTCGACATGTTTTTCTTGTCCCAGCTGTATAAAGTATTCGACATGTTTTTCTTGTCCCAGCTGTATAAAGTATTCGACATGTTTTTCTTGTCCCAGCTGTATAAAGTATTCGACATTTTTTTCTTGTCCTAGCTGTATAAAATATTCGACATTCTTTTCTTGTCCCAGCTGTAGAAAGTATTCGACATTCTTTTCTTGTCCCAGCTGTAGAAAGTATTCGACATTCTTTTCTTGTCCCAGCTGTATAAAATATTCGACATTCTTTTCTTGTCCCAGCTGTAGAAAGTATTCGACATTCTTTTCTTGTCCCAGCTGTAGAAAGTATTCGACATTCTTTTCTTGTCCCAGCTGTATAAAGTATTCAACATTCTTTTCGTGTCCCAGCTGTATAAAGTATTCGACATTTTTTTCTTGTCCTAGCTGTATAAAATATTCGACATTCTTTTCTTGTCCCAGGTTTATAAAATATTCGACATTCTTTTCTTGTCCCAGGTTTATAAAATATTCGACATTCTTTTCTTGTCCCAGGTTTATAAAATATTCGACATTCTTTTCTTGTCCCAGCTGTAGAAAGTATTCGACATTCTTTTCTTGTCCCAGCTGTATTAAGTATTCGACATTCTTTTCTTGTCCCAGCTGTAGAAAGTATTCGACATTCTTTTCTTGTCCCAGCTGTAGAAAGTATTCGACATTCTTTTCTTGTCCCAGCTGTAGAAAGTATTCGACATTCTTTTCTTGTCCCAGCTGTATAAAGTATTCGACATTCTTTTCTGGTCCCAGCTGTATAAAATATTCGACATTCTTTTCTTGTCCCAGGTTTATAAAATATTCGACATTCTTTTCTTGTCCCAGCTGTATTAAGTATTCGACATTCTTTTCTTGTCCCAGCTGTAGAAAGTATTCGACATTCTTTTCTTGTCCCAGCTGTAGAAAGTATTCGACATTCTTTTCTTGTCCCAGCTGTAGAAAGTATTCGACATTCTTTTCTTGTCCCAGCTGTATGCAGTATTCGACATTCTTTTCTTGTCCCAGCTGTATGCAATATTCGACATTCTTTTCTTGTCACAGCTGTATAAAGTATTCGACATTCTTTTCTTGTCCAAGCTGTATAAAGTACATGTATTCGACATTCTTTTCTTATCTCAGCTGTATAAAGTATAGTATATCGCATCGCAGGAAATGGGTCAATAGTTATATACTCCAGTAATTGAAATAGTTATTATCTTGTCAAATATTGGCACATTGTCTGCTCATAATTAACATTAACTCATTAACTCATATATGTATTGCTTTGAATGGAAAATTTATATATTAATTAACTTCTGCTTGTGCATGGCGTGCACACCTACACTGTACGACACCTATTTATAAGAAGTCAATAATAAAAATTGGCCTACCCCTGACAGGCAGTATCACCTGTCTCGGTTAGACGACATACAATCGTCGAACTAACATTAGTATACCATGAGGATCCGTCTAACCATGATAGGTATTATATCACAATCTGAAACATGTGAATTCACCCGATGGTTTGCCTACCTGAAAGAAGACATATTACCCGAGGGTTTGCCTTCAAGAGAGAGAGAAAGAGGAAATATTACCCGAGGGTTTGCGAACCAGAGAAAAAGAAAGAGGAAATATCAACCGAGGGCTAGTCTACCTAAGAAAGTTAATTGCGCCAAAGGGCATATCTAACCGGGGCAGCTGATATAATTCGGATTTTTTTAGGAGGAAATATTGTCTCATATACCGAACCGCTTCATTTAAAAAAGTTTTTAGAATGTCTTGGCACATGTAAAACAAAAATAAGTTTTTTAGAATAGTATAGCGTGATGTTAACAGAATGATTAAAAAAAGGGAAATATATGATTGTTTCAAATTACCGGATATTTTCCAAAGAAAAAAGAAAACTATTCTCACTCCATTGTTGAATGGATTTGCATGCTTCACAAATAAGGTGTCAATCAAGCATACTATGGCATTTAAACTTCACGTTTGACAATAGCTAGAGAACAGTTTTAGAACTTGAGCTAACTATCATTACTTATTAATAATGGCTGTTTAGTACACACACCTTCAAGAAGCAGTAACCAATCAATGGCAGCACGCTAGTTAAATATTTCAATAATTTGTTTGCGTTAAGTATTTTGCTATTATATAAAAGTGGTATTACTATATTTTAACAATGTCAAATGTTTTGTGTTATATTTTTACAGTGTAAGATATCATTGGCTTCAGTGTTACACGTTGTATCAAATTTCACTTCATACAAAGAACAATGTACGCATAACACGTGACGCATGGTTTCAAGACCGACTGTAAGCTATATGTTATATGTTTCAACACGTTTAACATGGACATTGTTTGTGTATAAAGTGAAAATTCGACATTACATATTTTCAAACTAATGGTACACGTTATATTAAAACCGTTGTTTACATATACATTGAATGGATTTTTTTTCATGTACATTGCGGCAATGAATAGCAGTAGCAGATCTACATCTCCTGTTAGCGCTCCTCAGAAGATATGTAGATCAGCTACTGCTATTCATTGCCACAATGTACATGAAAAAAATCCATTCAATTCATATATTTACGTTACGATGAACTACAATAAAAAACGTTATAACCCTTTTTTGTAAATTTGTTATTTTTGATATTAGTATCGGACAGAAAACCATACAAAAGGAACAGTCTGAACGACAGCCTACACACAAACTTCAAATGGTTCAACTTCCGCCGATCAGCTGATTTTCGTTGAAACGAAAAATATATGTCTAGAATCTAATAATAACCAACACTTGATATTCTTTTCATTTTTGAAAGTTGATCTTATTTGATGGTGGGTTTTTTTTCCATTAAACAACGCATATTGTATAGTCTATTTTAAAAAGTCCGCACTATTTCAAATCATCTGTCACCATAGTAACCATACAGGACACCCGTCGGCAATAGGCATCTAGAACTTAATTTTAAGTTAAGTGTAAGGTCATTGAATATACGGTTTGCCAAAAAATTACAGATGTAAATGATAATAAATTGATGGGTGAAGTGCCCTGTGCCCTCTGGTTTTAATGTGCAAGCTTATGTCACGGGGATTACCCAGCCGGACGTGTGGGTGTTAGAAAGTTCGTGACCACGAGGAACCGATTGCGAGTCGAAAGTCATTATTTAATATGACAATGTTATATTTGTTTAAAATCACAAATCAAAAGGAATAATGATAATAATAATTGTACAATGGTCATTATTTATGATTTTTGTAATGTTTATTAGTATTCACAACTACGTTATCTGAGAGAAGGGGAGATAACTCTCCTCAGAAACTGTACTCTGCGTAGTAATCTGATTTGTCATTGTGTGTGAAATCAGCTGACCGGTTGCGCGAGAATCGTTGTATTCATAGTGTATTCATGGTATAATGGCAATTGTTTTCAAATTTTTAAATCGTGCTAAAATGTTAGTGCGCTAAAATAAGTCTTTTAACAGTATGCCGTATTATTACAGCCGTGTTAATTTTATGTTGTTTCAGTGTCGACATCTCTTGCCTCCTAATAACGTAGACACAGAGTTTCTGATAGAGATCATCCTCACAGGAGAGAGGTCTTTGAAATTCTGTGCACATGACCAGGACAGTTTCAAGTAAGTAAGGTTAAAACATTTTTTGTTGTTGTTGTAGACTTTGCTTTATAAGATTTTTTCACTAAGAGTAAATAATTACAACGCACATATGACGCAGTAAAATGTAAACTTTGTTTTCTTTCTGCATCGACATATTTAAAAAGTTGCTTCCTAACCTGATTTCTGTATATCTAGTTATACCCCATGTGATATATGTCACATACGGTTTTTATTTATTTAATGATCGATTGATTTATTATCTATTTATTTTTTATTTATCTATTTATTGTTTATTTATTTATTTATTATTTATTTATTTATTTATTATATATTTGTTTAATTATTCATTAAAATCATTACAGAGCAAATTACGCACTATTATTCTATGCTTCTTAGATTATTTCCCACATTTCTGTTTCGTCCACATATTTCATATTGGTTTCTAAATAATCTTTATTTGGCACTATCTACAATCGGACATTTTTATCAAGAGCAAACGAAATCAAAATAGCGTACTTGCAGATTCGTGTACATTTCTACTGTAACCGATTCCAGTCACCGAAGCTTTACATTTCTGTACCACTTAAAACCATAACATACATGTACAGACAGATATTAATGTGGTCCATGTGCTCTACTCCGAACATGCGCAGTATGCCTCTTTATGATGAGCTCAACTCCCCTATCTTCCAATCCTTTTTTTAGTCCGTAAGGGACAATTAGAGGCGTCCGATTCATCACTTAATATATTTCTTAAACAAAATGTCAACTATTTAGGATTCCAGCTGATATGTCGTTAGTTACATGTGCGTGATCATTGTAATTAATAGGAAATATCTCTGCACAAAATGAACTTTTAACATAACTATGTTGCTCACAAATGTTATCGTGTGTTTTATTGATAAATACTGCGAAACAGCGTCCTCATTTAGACTCCAAGGCATTTTCACAAAATTTTAAATTTCACATAAAGGGATATATCTTTGCCTTTCTTTAGAATGTGGCTGCATGCTCTTCAGCGTGCCCAGTCCGACCGCGCACTGCCAACACCTAGATACGAACGACGCAACCTACGACCCGAGGAAATAGACGAGTTCGAAGAAAGAGGGTAAATTGACACACAAAGAATACGAAAGCTACTTTTAATGATCTGTTAAATTCAATACAAAATGGTTCTCTAGTTATTCTGTATCTAATAGGGATATGTACTGCAAACCACTAAAACTGCTAAAGGAGTTCCAGACAGACGGAAAACAAAAATAGAATCAAACTGACCCATTCGCTTCCATCCTGTGCGTTTTGTTTCTAACGCATCATCTATCATCAGGTGTACTTGGTTTCTAGAGCATCAGCCACCATCTAGTGTGTTTGGTTTCTAGAAAAACTATATTCACCAGGTACACTTGGTTTCGCCTGATGGTTTTGTCAATAACCATATCGTTCCTTCTTTTGTGTTTTATGGCTTCTTAGTCTTAATCAATCAAGTTGATTGTGTGATCCAAGGTTTTCTGAAATAGTGTAGCTATATTAAGTTGTTTGTTTAAAGTAAGTAAGTTTAAGAGGCCTCGTATCGGTGCTGTTCATTAAAGGAGACTATTTGCACATTGTAATTAAGTGTTAATTCTTGCACCATATTTGACTGATATCTCCTTCTAGTACACACTAATTGATAGATATTTTATCATATTTACATCATATTGATAACAGATATTAATTATGTAACAGAGACATACAAAATGAAGGCACACACAAGTGGGTACCTGTATATAAGCAATACCATTGGAACAATACATGTCTTTGTTGGCGAAATGACGATATCATCTTTTCATTTTCAGTTGCTGGTATGCTTGCTTCAGGAAAAACAAAGTGGAAACATTATAACACAGAACGTCATCTCTTTAGTTTGTTACGTCATATATTATTTATTACGTCGCAGGTGTTCAACTTTAACAATTCAAATATGGTGTATTACTATAAATTTCTGGTAGGGATGGATTTGTCAAAGCGAGGAATTTTCAGGTTCTTGAATGTACCTTTCTGCCAATGAAATTTAGCATTGATATTAGGGTTAGGTTATTCAAAGGTTTGTTAGGTAAATAAGTCGTTAAAAAGAGAAGTTCGTTTTTGCTGTTGTTGTTGTTTTTAAATGTGATTTTTTTTTTTTTTTTTTTTGGCATGTGGATAATTCTTTTAGGGGCCTCTAAATTTAGTTTTAGCTCTAAATTAAGTATTTTGATAATATACACCTGCATAGGCTTGACGCTAAACTAATCATGCTTTGAATTACTTGTCCCATGCGCAGACTTTTAAACATGTAAGCACTCAAGAGGTCACGAAATACCTTAACACTTATTTGTTGTTATATTTTAAAGAAAACAAATCTGTATACACGTGCCTTGTGTTGCTAGGTAATACATGATGTGCACACCCCCTACAAAAAGATTCGTTTTATACCATGGACTATCCAAGCTGCATGTACGAGGAATTCGTTTTCATTGCATGTGCTTTTACTTTTTTGTAAATGAATTAGTGATATCATTAATTGTTCTCAGTACCTTTACTTCATTCAATGTATTTCTAATATTTTCAAAAGTTGACATATATTTTGGAATAATGTCTATTTTGACAGTAAATTAGCATAAGATAAACATTTAGATTGACGTGTTAACAGTATTAGGATGTTGTTACACGTGACCTAAGCCTGCTTTGCATGCAATCATATAGAAGTTATACCCCTTTGGTAAAGAAAGAGTCTATGTTATAAATAACATTTAAACCAAAAATAAATATAAAAATCGTCTACGGTGTAAATATAATATATTTAGTGATGGGGAAGCTAATATCAAATATTGTATAGCACAATATGGGCACGGATTTTTCAACCCTGGTTAGCTTAATGCCAATTTTTACAAAACATTTTAAATATTTAAATGTGTTAGTGACTCGTTAAGCTAAACAGGCATTGATTTAACCGTGACATACATGTAATTTCAAGTAGATGATAATAGTACAATATCGACATTGACCTTTTAAAAGGGTCATCAACACTTTATTTTAAGATTGATTGAACATGATAGATTCACTTAGTATGGTTGTTGTCAAGTCAGAGGATTAGAAGGACATGTAATATATACCCATGCACTTCAGATTTTTATTTCAATTAAGTGCAATTAACAGTTCTATTTCTATATTTTTTATTTACCACATATAGGATTGTCGATAATCCGGAAAAATCTTGGTTTGAGAATTAGTCGATGGAGACTGCATCCGTTATATAATTTTTTAGTCCGGAACACAATCGGGAACCGTCGGCACTTTCCTTAAACGAGAACTCTCGTTTACGGAAAGTGCCGACGGTTCCCGATTGGTCAGGAACGATTCACTGCGACAATACATGTGCTAGAACGTGCTTAGTGGTACGATTTTTCTTAATACGGGCATCTGGTTTCTTTTTTTATTTAATCGTGCATTAAAAATGTTTATTTTATACGTAATGTGTTTGCCTTATTATTGAATATGTTGTACAGATCAGTTAATGTTGAACAAACATATTATACATGTACATCTGTATTTAGTACATAATTTAAACTTCAATGCTATTTTTCTATTCTTCTATCATGATAATTCCAGTACACATAAAATGGCTTACAATGTACTTCAACTAAATTGAATCGCGAAATAGGATCAGACCGTAGACAAATCTATTTATTATTAAAGTCAATTCATTATTTTTTATGACATTTTTCGGAACTTTCGACGAAAAGCGAGTTTTTGATTTGGAATGTTGTAAAATAAGAAATATTCTGCATGGAATTGTTGGCGTTTCAAAGTGTTAAATTTTATTCAGATAATCGTTTACTTCCACTTTTTTTCCATTCCACGATTTTACCGTCAACAGATAATTTTTGGTGACGTAGTACGATCGGTATTAATCGTATTTGATCTACTATATCGCAGAGGCCATTTTCTGAACGGGAGTTATCCCCCATAGAACATAACATTGACTGGGCAGCGGGTAAACGAATGCTGCGCGTTTCGTTTCTGAATTTTAAACTCGTTATTTCATTGGGTTTTATAACTTTATGCGAATATATAATTCAAAAGTAAAGCAATTTATTTTTTCGTAATTTAACATTTATTGGTCCATTTGTGTGAAAAAGCTGTTAGCGTTTCTGAATCTTTTAACTTAATTTAATGCGCTTTTATTACTTGAGGTGAATGAAGTGGAAGTTTATCTAGTTCAAAAAGTAAACTTTTTTTTTCGTTATTTAAAAATTATTGGTTAATTTGTGTGGAATTGATATTAGCGAAAGCACATGGTGTGCATTTGGGTCATTGAACGTACATTCCAGGGTCGTATCATATTACCTAGGGGTCCCAAAGCATTCTAGAATTTAGCACCGCCCAATCACGTACTCATTTACAGCTGAGTAGACTGGAACAAGCGGCCTAAAGTATCTTGCTCAAAGACACAATACAGTGCCGTGCCGTGACTCGAACCCGCAACCCTTCAGTCACGAGCACGGCGTCCTACATGTACCATTAGACTACCGTGCCTCATAATATGATGACACCATTCAAGTTATATCGCGAACATGCTGTGGGTATTTCAGCTAATCACAAACCTATTTTGGATGTTACCGGAGGCCGGATGATTTGAAAATTCTACAATATCATACAACATCTATCATAAACGAGTGCACACGGCAAAATGTAAAAGGCCGCCAGTAGACCTGAATTGATTGTTACCGGGAGTTTAATTTTGAAGGAAAGAATATTTGGCGTAATGAGTAGTGAGAAGACAATTATGCGTAGTGAGGAGACAATTATGCAATTCGCTAGTAAAAATTATATATTATTTTTTACTCATTCAATTCAATTCTGTTTTTTCATTTGTATGTATATATTATTCTTACTTTCGTTATAGATTAGGGTGTTGGATTGGAATAATAGACGATGATAATGGTGATGGTGATGGTGATGATGATGATGATGATGATGATGATGGTGATTTAAGATAGATGGCCATCGTACTAGCTACAGAGCAAGATCTTATTAAATCAAACAATAACACACTTCAGTCATCATGTATATCATTTACACAATATCTCTTACTCAGGTTCTGTGGATATTTATCTTTCAGCTGACTAAAAAGCTATAAAACTTCGCCAAATTATGATGCAGTACTTCAACATTTAAAAACCAAAAAGGCAATTAGAAGAAAGTTAGTTCGAGGCCATAACTTGAACATATACACTTCTAAGTACGAGAACAGTTTAATGAATGCGATACCAGGTTTGTATATATCTTGAAGCATTCCATGTTTCCGCACGCTTTTGACATAAAAACAACAAAACACACGACACGTTTGATATCTTTATTTTGATTTGTTTCACATAAAAACAATATGAATGAACACAGTGCCGAATAAAAGTATACATTTTACTGTATATGTAGATAGATGCACTTGAATTTTATGCGCCCAGATACCTGTTGTAAATATATCGATGATACAAATTTGCTCACACAATGTCATAGACAATGAATAACAACCATCTTTGACACTTCAGACTATATTTATCAACATAAATGTTCCAATATTTAAAGAAGAATAAATAAACAATTCCGTAATGGCTTAACGTTTCAGAACACGTTCTATAGTTCTAGACACAGTTAAATTAATAATTTAACTCCGTGTCTAGTAAATCATTTTGAACAACTTAAAATTTCAGACAATCGAACTTAATACGCTAGCCTATAATTTGCTCATCTTTACATGCAATATTGCATTTTATGGCAGGTTCGACATCTGTCAAATGGATTTTTTTTACACGATTTTAAGAAACAAAGACACAAATTGCCTCAAAATAGCGTAAAATGACTAGATTTAACGGCGCTTTGGGATTAGGATAAAGATGACGTCAACTCTAACATTTCAGGCAACAGATCCAAAGAATTTATACTGTAGTTTATGAAGAATTTATACTGTAGTTTATGAAGAATTTATACTGTAGTTTATAAAGAATTTATACTGTAGTTTATGAAGAATAACGGATTAGGAGACAGACAACGGTATATGTCAAACCGATTTTGGCCAAATTATAATGCTGAATGATTTCTCCTTTGCTAGGATACATACGGGTACTTTGACAAAATATATGTATAACTGTTATAAAACTGGTCATGATTCGCGAATTCTGTGTAAAATGGGGTTTTTTGCCGGTAACACTTGTTCATTTTGTATTTGCTAATGCGCTTTGAATATTTGTCATAAGAATGTGCGAAATGTACCGTAATCAATGGATGTGCCACTGACATGCCCAGTTATTGTAATAATTTATTTTAATATGACGTAATCAGAAAGACACTTCGAGGTTACAAGTTGTTTTTTTTTACACGGCATGCTATGTCAAATAAGGCGTCATTTCGATTTAATGATCAAGTGGTGTTGACATAATGACGTCTATCTTAACGAGATGTTGTTTTTAAACGACATGTCGACAAAATGTTTGAATTGATAACACAGTGTTATTTCTATAGTGTAGTGGCAAACAGTGTAATCGTGATACAATGTAATGATAATTTTCACAAGGATACGCAAATAATAAACTGATATCACAATGGAAACAAATAATACAATAGATAATATAAAACAAAACAAAAAGATACAAAAGATATGATGAATTGCAATGTACCTAAAATATGTCTTCTGTCTAGTACTTGCGATAAAATTTACTGAAAAATTATGAAAAGTATTTTTTTACAACTGAAATTGTGACAAGGGAGATAACTCAAAGTAAATTACCTCACTTATATATCAAGTGACCATAATATATATCTTAGTATGTTGTGGAAAAAAAATCATTGACAAGATTTTTTTGCCAATAACACCCTGTTATTCCTTTATCAAACTGTCGATTTCTTACATTATTTTTGCTGCATCATTCATCAACATTCTCAATTCATTTTAATTATTTTATTTTCTAAAAGTATTAGCCATAACGTCTTATAGTTGAAACACCCACAGAAATAACACACTTATAATACAATGGAGGAGAAGCTGTACAACAAGGCGAAATAAAACAAAATAAATGAAAAAAGATACCCAAAATATTAATAATCTCATGTCTATTTAATATCATTGTTCGTTATTTTGAAACATCAAAATAAAATGAAATAATCGATTTCTTACATCAAAATTTATGGCGATATTCAACAACATTTTCAACTTAAAATACACCAATTCAGTCAAAACACCTAGATTTATTTTTACATTTACATTTGTACACATAAAACGCTCTGATTGTCCAGTTTCTATTATAATGGGGTAATAATTTTACTGAGCTGACTTTCAAAGTTCCTTCATGCAGAAAAGACTTGATTATATGAGCTTCGTCTGTGAAATCTGTTTAACAGGAGATGGGCTTAATACCGAGCATGAGTTTATCACCGGATAAATACAGTTTATATATGGAAGCGGTGCTACGTTCATTTGGCGACTTCATGTGTAAGTTTTAACTTTTCATGAAATATCAAAGTCCGATTAACCAGTTTTAAACAATGCCTTATATATTTCTTAAGTGGATTTTTTTTTGGAAAGGAGAAGCTCCTTGTAACAGTAAGGTTCCTTACACCCTTAAATCAATGGATCATTATTCCGTCTTTGCGTATTGCAGAGTTATCTTCTCTTATGAGCAGGTATTGATTGTTACGTCATTTGTTTGTGAGAGTAACGTAATCAATTTTTGAGAAAACGACGTAATTTTCTCACACAAACCAATGACGTAACAATCAATACCTGCTCACAAGAGAAGATAACTCTGCAATACGCAAAGACGGAATAGAGAAAGGACATCATATCCGGTAAGCCTGATAGCGGAATGATGAAATATGAATGGGTGCTGTTACCGTGAATCCCCTGTATGTTTTGTTATACATGTGTATTTGTGTTTATTTTAAACTTGTTTTATTTAACATGAAGTTACACCATTGATGTACTTTCGATAAAAAAAAACCTATTGCATGTGTTCGACCACTTATGAGGTACATTTCAAAAACGTGGGATAACAAATATGTCATTTACAATACATATAATTCCGGTCTTAATATATACGCCAACTCTAGATCTGGCACCTTAAAACAAATAATTAACTTCTTCCAGTGGGACCATTATGCTTTTTAAGTAGCTGAATACTTTGTCTTAAGTCTAACTCATCAATCAGTGTATATGTCGAAGTAAAATTGTGAAACACTTCACTTCTAACTCTGTTTTCATCACAGAAGATGCAAGATAGTTTTAGGCCGATAAATATCAGATACGATAGCTTTTAAATATCAAGTTGAAATGTAGCTGCCATAGCTTAAAATAATAAACATGTATTCTAAAATTAAAACAAACTTTTATTTTTTCTCTCCGGACTGAAGTGCCAATACACGTGAAGAAGCATGCAATGTGCTTCTCCGACTAAGTTGTAAAGTTACTTTGCATTTTGTTTCTCTTTTTCATACATGTGAGTTTTTCAAAACTGTGAAATATGGCAATTATCTAAAAGAAACAATGTAGGTCTTTAAATCGATCAGGTATACCAGTTTTCCGACGTGCTTTTGATTTTCATTTAGTTGTAAGTCAGTGTTATTCTTATAGACAAATCTGTTTGTGGCAAACAATGATCCGTGTTCTATACTGTACTAATACTTTACATTGCACAATCTGTATGTATGTACTGAACATACGTTGCTAAGGATAACTTTTACATATTTTTTGAAGGCCACACCAGTGATATTTGGGATATACCTATCCTAGCCCAAGTTTCCGCTGGCCCTGACACCAGACTTAGATATTTGGCAGATAGATGTCTGGTGTGGATGTCAGGGTCAGAGGAAACTCGGACAGCACCTATCCCTCAAAACTTTAAGACGGAAATTTGGTATTGCCATTATTTTAGACGGCTTAAAATGTCAAAAATATACCGCTTCTGTATCATGTGTGTTCAAAATGGAACTTACGACATTTGACCTGTTTCCTGAAAAGTCATTTTCGAAGCAATGCTCAGTGTTAAGGTCCTCGTTTGGCGAAATAAGGACGTCTTCGGGCCATGGGGAAGAACTCTGCCGAGTTGGTGTAGCCTCCTGGGAACCCCCTGCGAAAGCTATGTTGGACCCCTGATGAACCACTACAGAGCTCTCGAGTCCAGAATTAAAGCCAGAATCTCCATGATCTGCCTCGGATGTTGAATTCACCATTATGTCGGAAACAGGGCTACTACTTGTTTTTTCTATAAGTTCTGAATACTTATTTGGATATGTATTTCCATACCGTAATGATGGCAGACAGTCGAACGGATTCTCACTACTTCCGGTACTGTGCGTGTCAGAAAGACTTTTTGATACAACTGCATGTGTTCGGAAAGGGTCCTCTTCAAGAGAAACATTATAATCGACAGGGAACACACTTGATCCGTCCTCTGAGCCTTCCGTCACAGAATCGAACCCAGGAATCGTGTCACACACAGAAGGAGTGCCAGGGCACCCTACAGAAAGCGCTTCTTCGAAACCTCGGTCAATCTCTGGGTCAAAGGTGAAAGATAATGGAGTTGATGTACCACTCCGCGGACTATCCACCCTTCGCCTATCATTGCAATCCGCCATGTACACGTGTGAAGTACGATTGTCTGTTCTACATTGATATGAAGTGGTCAATCGTCCGGAGTGGTCAAATGTTGGCGTGTGCTTGTTTTCCCGTGATACATAGCTTGAGGCACGTGAAGAGCTGTCGGACAGTTTTCTACACACAAAACTTTCATCAAATTTAGATTTTTCTGATCCGTCACTCTTATATAAGTCTATATCGGGTTGAGGGGAGAAAACTTCTATCACATTGTCATCGTATTTATAAGAATGAGATGGCTCGGAGTAGGACAAGTCGAGAGCAATTTCTTCCGCTTTATAAAGGTCTGTCCTTGCATCCCCATCACCGTCTGTCCGACATTCATTTGCCGTCCTGCTGGAATCTGCCAAGAGGTCGCTAACATCTACGTCATCAAACGATGCACGTGATCCACTACCTTCTGATTTCACATGACTAGAAGCATGACTTGAGTTACGAACATGATGTCGGTATGTGTCATGAATTGTGTCAGTTTCATAATCCGAGTTGTCAGTTGATTTCAAACCGTTCGAAATGACGTCAGGCAAATTGCTATTAGAGAGATTATCGACTTCATTATCGCGTGCTACACTAGACGATCCTGAGTGTTTGTTCGATTGAACTGCTTTGAAACTTGACAAATGCGGCCGTGTGTTGTGTACCTCTACGTTTGTCTGTGCTGTGAGTTTCTCATCGAGAATGATTGCAATGTCCCCATCGTCATATTGCCCACTAACGCCCTCGCTTTCGCTGCGTTCCTCCAGCAGGTGGTGCTTTCTCGGTAGACTGTCCGTATTGAGGTAATCAGGATGATAGTCACCAGAAAGATAGAAATGTAAACTACTGCTGTCTTCGCGCGCATGTGATTGGGTGGCTACTTGTTGCATACTACGCACTCTGTTTGCCTCACCACTGTCAAACGCCTCATTGACAAAGATTGGCGGTAAGTGTTTCTTCCGCATTTGATCCTTCCAATCATGACGTGAGCTTGATGACGCAGACCGCGTTAGATCCACTTCTTTGCCAGTGTCAAGATACGTGATTTGATTCTTTTGTTGTCTGGACGAAATATTGCGCTTTTGACTTGCCGGTGATGAACGCGAAGAAGCCGCCGATAAGGCTCGATGTACTTGCGGAACAGTTTGGGAGTGGACTTCCCGTTGTTGGTGCAATGGGCCAGACGTAGCTGCGCATGCGCTAGCTTGGGGATCCGGCGAGTTGTCTGGTCGTTGGCGATATCGTTGGTTCTGCTGTCGAACAATCGTACTAATGTCCGTCAGAGGAAGCTGTCTATTATTGTGAGAATGTCCGTCTATAGGCTCGTCCGTCTGTCGCCGTGGTAACGAGTTGGAGGGTGTTTGACGTGTACCAGTCCCGTTGAGCTGCTGCGCTGTCCGGAGGTAGGATTTTAGGGTACAGGCGGCTGAATCTAAAAAGATAAAAGAGATCAAGAGTGCAATCAGACCATAGCCAAGTCTTACACTTACGTTACTCGGACTTAAATATTTGGTCAGTGTATACAGGGAATATATAAATATAGAAGTCTCACACGTGCCTTTATTCTGAAAACGTCAGCACTATAACAACATGGTTGCGTCATTAAATGTCATCACGTCATGAATTAATTATTGTTTCATAATAGGGTCGTTAGATCATTTTTGTCACACAATTAATGAAATATGGGCTTTTTTTCTACGGTAGGAAAATGTCGGATAAAAACGAATATCTCCCCTGTATAATGTAAACAGTGAAATAGCAACATTCGGAATGAGACTCGCGCTTACCGAAAAAATGATCCATTTTGTTAAGATTTTTCTGTCTTCAACGATTCTATCGATCACAAAGACAGGCACACACAGAGTCTATGCCATTCGGTGTTTTTGTTACGGGCATTCGAGACAGGAAACAGTATGTTCCGCAAACTCATTATAGGTTTAACTAACTTCAAAGAAATATCATTTTTGCGGATACAATTTACATGTAAGAGTTGTTTAAGCATTGATTACGATAACATGGCTAAAATATCAGATATTTTACAAGCGTAGAAACATAAATCACGCTTACATTGCTACTACGCAAGACCTACTCAAACGCGGGTCAAGTAAACACAGCTTCTATGTAAAACTTTCTCTAAAATACTTTTCACCTTAGTTTCCGACCTAATTTATAATAATAATAATTTCAGGTTCTTATATACCGCTTTATCACAACCTAGTTCGTAGGTCGTCTCAAAGCGGTTCACGAATTATTATCCGTGGTTATAGGGCCTATGCAACCAGTCAATACCTTTCGCAACTCCCTGAGTAGCATTATAGCCGGTGCTGCCATTTAGGCACTCACAACTAGCATTCTACAATCCCAGCACTGCCCAACCACGTACTAATTTACAGCTGAGTAGACTGGAACAAGCAGAGTAAAGTATCTTGTACAACACAGTGCCGTGCCGTGCCGTGATGCGAACCCGCAACCCCTCGGTCACGAGCCCGGTGTCCTACCATGAGAATAACGTGCCTTCAGTTCCCATAGTGACCGACCTACATTGGGTTACTTCTCTGTGTCACCATATAACATGTACAACAGTTTACAACAAGCTTGCCAGTGTGTGGAACTACTGGAAAACTATTAAATGCAAATTAGTTGGCCATGCGGTCCCTTTTATTGATCTGGAATGCTTCACAACGTGTTTGCCCTATAACGTACGGGATATAGCCTAATCTGCCTATATAGGCTAAATACGGTCGCTTCTATACATGGATCGAAATTACAGTTAAAAACAGATCCCATGCTGGGTGTAGTATCAAAAGTGTAGAGAGAACCAAATGTGCTACAGTAATATCCAAACGGAAGTGAAGGGAGGCTACTGTAAACAGAAAGGAAACAGCAGTGCGGTGGGACAGGGATCCTAGCTTAGAGCTTAAACTAACGAACTATAAAGTCACTCTTTACTTTTACTTGACATTTTGATTAAGTTAGTATCATTGTGTTCCCAATAGGAACATGTGATGATAGACAATTAGAGCTTTTAGTCACTATGGTATAAATGTTTATACGCTGCACACCTTCAATGCATTAAGTAGCTAAAACCTTCAAATTCCATCAAGATATCTTCAACAGTTTAAAAAAAAAAAGCTTTTGAAAAAAGTTTAACTGAATTATTTGTTTTCACTTTATTTCACATGACTTATTTTATAGGTCATTGTAACCGATTTACATTCTGTGGGTGGTGTAGTCACACATGAAATTTAATCAAGATATTTTAACGGTTTGAAATGTTACGACCAGACCAAGAAGTTATTAGAAAAAGAACCCGTACTTATAAGATACGATAGGTTTCCCTTGAATTAGAAGGTGAGCGAGATAATGAAGTTCCCGCTATAACGACCAGTGTTTACCTCGACATAATTTCGAAACTTTGATACATGTATGATACGTTCAAACAAGACCACTCGCGTCAAAGTTAAACTCCTTGTTGAGCCCCGGCCCTCTTGGTAAAAGGAAAGTGCGCTATCCACTGCGCCACCCTTATTGAGTCTTTAAACACTTTCAGACAACTTTTTGCAGAATATTTTAAAATAAATTTGTTGATGTTTTTAACTATGTATTATTTTACTGTTCATTAGTCAGAAAATATATGTCATACATTCGCGAATTTTAAGACATATTCATGTAACGCAACGTGAGATTGTTTTTCTATAATTTGATAAGGCTGTGTTTATCTTGAAGTGTTGATATATTGCAGTGTCTATATAGGATAAGACTGAATACCGTAATGTCCTTTCATGACAATGTCAATATGTGGTATTTTCTGTATACAGCTGTGTCTATACATGGTCATGTTTATATATGGTGTATGTGTAGTATTTATGTAGTTTATATACATGACTGTCGTTGTGTCTATATATGCTATACATGTATATAGGTAACGGGAATCAAAATATATCTATTCCTATATTACCCCTTCGTAAATCATTTTACATACCTTCATTTAAGGAATTATACTGTTTGTTACATATCTAGTATCTTATATTTTGTTTGTGACATATCGTAAGGTAATTAAACAATAATCTTGTTAAAATTTATGCAAGAAGATAAAGTATCATACCCTCTTCCTCCTCAGCAGGCTTCCGGAGCACACGCACACGCCATATATAGATAAATGCATGCCGATAGCGCGTGCTGACGATCCACAGGAGGTGGGGAAGGCACAGGGCCTCCACAAGGACCAACCAGATGATAGCATCCTTAATCGTTTTGTGAGAGGATCCCGGCGGGGAAGTCAGGGCCACGAATTCCAACACCTAAAACAAATTGAAAAAAAAAATGTGTGACATTTACTATGCATTTGAACTTACGATATGCTGCCTTTTAATTGATTTTCACAATTAATATGCGATGAACCGTGTAATTGGAAATAATTGTTACGAGCGCGAGACTACCATCTGTTTCTGTAAAACGTGTAGGCCTTCAGGCAATCCCGAACATATGTCGTGATTGTACATAACACCGTAGATCGTTTTGACAAACAAAATGGTAACCTACATAGGAAGCAAAAATAATCGTTCTCTTCTTAACGCTCCGATCGATAACGTACATACAATCAGCTTAGATTCAAGAGTACTCGAGATGCTAGTTTGTTACAGCAATTCAATGCCCATCAAGCTTCCCCGTAATAGTGGCCGGGGTGATATACTGACGGCAACAAATCAGGTTATGGCCATAGTGGGTTTTAGCCTGATAATAAGATACAAGGGCGATTCAGGATAGCAGGGATCAAAGAAATGGCCGTTTCGTGTCCCTGCTTTATAACTGTCGGCTTTAGGCCATACAAAATCCATTTCTTGTTATTACGTTTTCTGTATGGGGAAACAAGTTCCTTTATTTAAGAGCAGTCCAGCAAAAAAATGTGAAATGAGTTTAGATTTTGATTCAGATTTCAAGGATAACCGTTAACAGAAACATGCAAATACGCAAGTCGAAACAATTTGTCTGGAAAATCCAATTAAAGATGAAATACATTTAAATGTCCCTAAAAACACGAAATGCATTTTGTGTGGCCTAATACGGCAATTTCATCGGGATATAAAGCTGTGCTCTCTGAAGTAAGAAATTCCGTACACAAGTTCGCGTTAACGACCTCGCGCGTTAAAGTGTGACGTAAATGGGTTATATGAGGACAAATGTAGTTCAATATGTTGCATTGTTTTAAACCGAAAAGGGAAAATCGAGTTGGTTCATACTATTCAAACTTTACTAATACTTTCATTTTGAATTAATCAGTAATCCTCTAGATTTTGAAATTCCTTAGTGGATTTACTACGCACGTCCGCCTTCTGTTTCAACAAAAATGTTTAAATCAATTTCTTTTTGGACCCTAGCATCACCGATGTATGATGTAGTGTAATTAACTTTTGGCATACTGTATCTTTAAACAACCTTTAAAGGTGATATCAGCTGTGTTTGTGTTACGTTTATCTTTGAAAAGAAAATACAGATGTTTTGTCTCAGCAACCATTCCGTGTTCTACGTTTCTCCGCCTACATTACATTAACAACTGAAACTGATTAGGACAGCATCATTAATGCTTACAGTGTAACTTGACAGCTTCTATGTTTCTGTTGAAACCCGTCACCGTAAAACCAAAACGTGACCTGGGATTAACCATTAAGGTTTTTGACAAGCGCAGGTGTGCCTTTACGGCTTTTCATGTCTTCCAAGAATGCATATACAGATTCCGAACGAAGCGGCGTAGATACTTTAATGATTCTACGGAGGGAACAAAACATGTTCTTCATTTTGTTTGTAAACCTTAATCATGCCTGAGAGGAGCTATACAACATCGAGTTTAATGGGAGCATCAAACACGACATATTATGTAGGTATCGCAGACATGTTGAATGCGGATACTGTTCAGATCTTTCAATGGAACTCCCCTTCCCATAATGCTTCCTTATCAGTTTATAGCATCTTTTAATGATATTTCCTATCTGCTAGTGTTAATGCAACAATTATATATAAGCTATGAAATATGAAATAGCTATCATCTTCATTTGTTACACCTCAAGTGAATTTCTAGCTATTTGATTGGTTGGGAGAAAATTAAATATCTGTCACACTCCGAAAATACATTGGTTTTAAGGGGCGCGAGTGATATTGCCATGAGACAGTGAAAAATATCACATGCGCGAAAAATGTGCGTTCACCGCTTCGTTTCCCCACCGTGATGGTTACATGAACGTTTGACGGCAACAGCCAATTTTATCAAGCGCCGGTGCAATAGCGATTATAAACAGCAGACTATCAACAAACAAGATGTCATTATCGAGGCTTGCTGCCGTTTCTGAGCTACAAAGACTTTTGGTGGAACAAAATAGATATGACATGCATAAGCAGGTGACAGTGAATATTGTCAACCCTCAAAAACCCATTGTCACCCTCGACTTCGCCTCGGGTTACAATGGTTTTCTCGGGTTGACAATATTCACTGTCACCTGCTTATGGATGTCATATTTATATAATATCACATATGGTATCACCTAAAACACACCTGAAAACATGTTTATTTCCTTACGTTAATGTGACAATGTGTAATTATTAGTCTTTCACACAAGGAACAAAGTAAAGTTCTACCTTAATCTTTGTAATTGTACACTTCGAAAGGAGGCATTGAAATATTTTAAGGATCCCTGCCCAACTGAGCCTAAATACTAGATCATTCCACTGTGGTTTCTTTCCGTATACACAGTAACCCCTAACTCCCCACCCCTTAATCTGGTTTGGAAATAACTGTTGTGCAATCGGAATATAGCATATTCGTAAATCTGATAGTTCAACTGGATAGAGCAACAGTAACAATCTGATGTCCAGAGTTCGAACCCTGCTCTGGTCCCGCTGAATATTTTAATCTCAATAAAACTGTTGTTCATTAAATTTTGTTTATTTTAACCCTCCTTTTTCATAAACGTCCCTTAGGGTAAGGTTTTCTTTTCAGAAATGATTCATTAAAGTTATATTCATGCCAAACAAAACCCAGTTTGAAATGGATGGATATAGTCAGATTTTTTGGCAGTGGTACGGGGATACTTAAATATCTAAACGTTTAGTACCCAGTTAGTAATTGTATATCAAGTATTAAAAAGGGAAGCATTCTTAACCAACGCAAGGCACATATCTGACAAAATAACATGGATTTTCCTAACAAGTATGTAAAAAGCTCGAAAAAATTGTAAATGTAACCATGGATTACAGGAAATTAATCGTTATCACAGAAAAATGCTATTGATCGCGGAATTCAGTCGCCTCCAGTGACATATTCGATATAGTATCATGAACTTTAATTAACTCAAGATATTTGAAGGTGAAACAAATTGAGCAAAAGTAGTAATGATACCAGTAATTTCCTTTTAACGCCGGATATATGCATTGCGGGTATTAAATTGTCATGCGTGCTGGGTTTCCTTGGCCGTATATACACCTGCTTTAGCATTCCTGGAGGCCACAATTTGTGGTACGCATGTTCTTAACAATACAATCAATTATAGATATAGAAATAACAGTTTCCCGAGGGGATTTCCAACTATAAAGTTGAGCATGTTATTGTACTCATCTCGATTCCACAATTAGACGACCGTGCTTGGTTCACGGCCGCTTGTACAGGGTCATAACGAGGCTTGTAAAACGAGTCAATCATTACAATTAAGGGAGCATATTGGGTATCTGTCTCTGGAGAGTTCTGCCGTAACCGGGCCATGTGTCCCCACGTCCCCATGCCTCTTCAGTTGACTTTTATCATTGACAAAGCACTCATTTTCCTTGATGAAAATCTGTTGCTATAATTGACAAGGAATACAGTTTCTTTTCGACAACGTTCCCTTGTTTTAAACGATCTAGAAGAGCTGCAGATTTTTGTCATTGACAAAGGACATATCCTCTATCTTATAATGTTGTCTTATTCTAAAAACCTTTTTATCAGAAAAGCCGACTGTTACATGTTACATGGAATACGTCATTGTTTTAATGGGTCACGTTGTATGAAGAAATACCCGTGAGACATGGACTGTCGTCATAAATAAACGTAAAAAAAGCGCTTGAGATTTTGTTGTATCATATATGTCGGGTTAACATCACAAGTTCATCTACTGGTAGACATCCTTTCTGGCTCTAGAGAGACAGGACAGACCGTTTTGTGCTTAGGGGCTGTTCAACTGTTAATTGAGATGCTCAAAGTATTTTTTGTTCATTTCATAGAGTCCATTGTCAGTCTCTTGAGAGCGTTCCCAACCCGAAGAACCCAAAGCCAAGCCGTAGACTGTGGCGTTAATCGGCCGTCCCTTATCGATCGTGGTATGATTTCCCCATCGCATTGACCAATTATATACATTTAGTAGTACGTGACTCGTCGCACGTGCCTCTTTAACAGTATTAGAGCAATGTGTCATTCGAAACCAGATACTTGCGCACGTGTAGGCTTTACACGTGCGACAGATACGGTCAGATTGATCATATCTTGGTTCTCTTGAACAAACTACAAGATGTCGGTAGAGACGGCGATGACTCAATTTTCAATTGAAAATTTCATTATCCCCCCTTCACCCAAAATTACAAAACTAATCAAGTTTACTTTCATTTGGTCGTGATTTCGTGTTACTAAATTAAGAGGAATTTATACAATTCCGATACTCGTATTTTTGTAATTTCGTGATAATGGCTCATCGTCTGGGTTGTTATAGACGCGATGAGGACCATTCGCTTATTGATGAAATATTGATTAAATTCCAGATATAAATAAGTGTTTCAGCACACATGTACTAGTTCCTTTCATAAAGGTTGACAATTAATAGTGACGTGCTTTAGATATAATCCGATATGAAATATCTGAATATCTTTTTAAATCAAAGCATTCCAAATAAATTCCAGTGACCAGGAAAAATGAAAAGTAATGCATCATCAAAGTTTAAGCGGAATTTAGTAAAGGAAGCAAGCATCAGCAAGTATTTCCCTTGCTAATCCCGTATATCATTCCGTGCAGTTTGGATACATTACTGCATCACTATCATACATATTTCTGTGCTAATCCCAGATATAATTAAGTGCTAATACTATCAAACAATCATTAATGTTTCTAAATAAAGGGAAAGTCCGGGACGGTTTTGTTATGTGACTTTGAGGTGGTGACGTTTAGATTTATTTTGTTTAACGTCCTATCAGCAACTGTGGTCATTTAAGGACGTGTAAGTGTTGCTGTATATGCCTCCTTGTAATAGCATGGATCTGATGCCGACTTTATAGTGCTACTTTATTG